CCCCCCCCTCCCCAACCCCCAAACCACCCATTAGCATAGTCACAAGGCCAAGGTCAAGCACCAGCACAGACACTTCGTGAGAAGATTGTCCAGGGCGGCGCGATAAAAAAAAAAAGCTCCAAATCGAACCCAAGTATCCAGTGACAGACAGCTACTACATCACGGAAGGAGACAAAAGTCATTCGAAAGACAGTGTCAAAGTACGCACGATACGATGCCAACCGTCACTGCCATAGATGAGAAAAAGAGTATGTATCAACCCGGAAGAAATTTCTCAGACATCCACCACATCAAGATAATACAAACAGGGGCTGGCTGGCTGTTCATCAAAAACAGAAACTCTGGCTGTATAGCACAAGATACCACATACGAAACATCAATGTCACTGCAATCAATAATCAATGCCAGAATTGGTGAACGGGTTGGTCAAAGGAGTGGATGAAGAGTAAAGAATAGGTAGCCGGTTAAACTTAGGAAATCAATCCTAACTGGTCCTGTCTGCTGATTTGCTGATTTGCTTGCTGATTTTTTTTTTTTTTTTTTTTGTTTACAATACCTCTGATTACTTCTTCATTCTTCTCCTCCGTCAGGACAGTCCGGCTGTGCCTGTGGTCCCTGCTGGGGTGGGTTCGAGTTTCTTGCGCGCCACGAGGATACTCTTCAGCGATCCCAGCCATTTGGCCAGCGACTCCTCGTCCGTCGTGCAGAGGCGATAGGATTTCTCCTCCGCGATGATCTGCAGACAGAAATTCTTGGACCGGGACATGGGGTCGATTTCGGCGGCGTCGATCACTTGAGACATCGGGATGATTTTGATGGCGGAGTATTCCTGGGGTTGTGTTAAACATTACCACAATATCAGTAGAACGAAGAAGTGCCCACCTGCTCATCCTTGTAAAAGCCCAGGCCACTCGGTCGGAGCACCACCCATAACCGCTTCCACTGACGCATAGAACCCTTGATCCGAAGACATTGGAGATAGCCGTTGCACACGACCCTTTCGGGATCACGCAGGACCCCGGCGTCGTTGACCCGACCCGTCTCCCGCGCATTCGAGGACGATCCCTCCGCAAGGGCCGACGCAGAACGATTGTGCGCAGACGGCGACCGCAGGCGGACGCTGGTGTTGCTTCCAGGCCCGTCCGACCATTCCGAGTACGAGGTGATGTCGTTCGCCGAGTGGTCATGAGGCGAGGCGAAGCGCCTCGACTTGTACGCGGGAGACAGTGCGCCCCCCAGTTCTGGAGAGCTGGGCCGTCCGCGCTGGTCGAAGTCCGAGTGGTCCGTAGTATCGTAGACGCGCCGCTTACTGCTGGCTGCCGCAGCATCCCCCGGTTTGGACAGCGCCAGAAAAGCCTCTTCGTCTTCGTCCATCCGTGTCTCGGCGCGGATGTATCTGATCCAATCCTCGGCCTCCTTGTCCGTCGCGGCTTGGAAACGATAGTTCTTGGAAGGAGAGAATATGCCGAAGACGTACTGTCGGTTCGATCGCGGCGACCGGACAGAGGCGACGGCCGTTACTTCGGACAGGGTGATGGAGGCACGGAGTCGGGTGGTTTCTTCATCTTTGTACACGGAAAGAAGGTTTGGGCGGAGGACAAGGTACGCCGGTTTCCACGAAGCTCTAAAGGCCTAGCAGCGGGATGAATGTTAGTGTCCTGCTTATGATGAGGAACCAAGAAAGGCAAAGCGACTGACATGCTTGTGCTTCACACGACGAAACACTTTTCCAGTCTTAAGGACTCGGTCGAACTCGAAGCTACCGTTCTCATTGACGGGTGAGAAGGTGTCAAGGTTGACATGACCGTTGCGATACTGGGTGGGATTCGGGGTCGGCGATAGGAGCGTGGAGGACCTCTGGACTTGACCGTCGGGGAGATGGATCACGGGCGCTCGGGCGCTCCCCTCCATAATTGGGGGGCACGAGGTTGAGATAGCCTGGGTCATGATGCCTCCCAGAGTGAAAAGGGATGTGGAATTCCAAGCCAGGAATCAATCTGGTGTATGTGCGACGGTCGCGGGAGCGGTTGCGACGGGGCAAAAGGAGCGTTATGTTCTTCTATAGTTTCGTGGTGCGCATGGACGGGGGAGACCAAGAAGGGGTCGTCATTTAGATGGTCAAGTTGCAGTCGGAACAGAAGGATGTCAGAGACAGAGAGAGTATGTGATCTGTGGTCGCGAACACGGTGAGAGGAGGATTGCTACCGTAAGGTCATCGAAGTTGGATCGAAAGGAGAGTTGGGCGAGTTGAGTTGCAGTGGGAAGCAACGACGATGAAGGAGGGAATGCGGCGACAACGACAATGACAACAACCACCCGGCTTAGAATGAACAACAACGGCAACAACAATGACAGGTATTATCAGCAAGTGGCATGACCCAGAGCTGCACTCCGTCACCTTTTGCTTTCATACATAATACATAGAGGGGGGAGAAGAAGAAGAAGAAGAAGAGAAGAAAAAGAAAGCAAGAAGAGAAACGAAGATCAAATGAAAGAGGAAATTCAAGGGTCTTTCTTTTTTTTCTGGTGGAAGGAAAGGGGTATCTATCCGATAATCTACTACGTACGTACTACCGACTACCGACTACTGTTTCCTACTAGTAGTAGTTCGAGACTTTTGAATTCGAAGGGGGGTTAACATTTTCCCTGCTTTGCTAACGGGACGCATGGACGTTTTTGCCCTCACTGACTATTTTGTTAGAGGATCATCGGGTTCTAGTCCAGACACTGTCCAGACGGTGGGGGGGCCAATTGTGAGAGTGAGACCTTGACTGACTCAAGCTCCTGCAGTTTCACCTGGGATGAACCACGAGCAACGTCATCAAACCATTCATCTTCAGGATTGTTGTTGCTGTTGTGGTTGTGTGGTGATGATGATGATGATGATGATGATGATGATGGTGGTGGTGGTGGTGGTGGTGGCTGTTGCTGAGGCTGTTGCGGTTGCGGTTGCTGGAGTGTTTGAGAAGAGTCAAGGGGGTCGCAAAAGTAAGTTAGTTAAGCCTTGAAACGTTCCCCTCGTGGGACGCAAAACCGCCCGCCACGCCCCAGTCCAGGGGTTGGTTGGTTGGTTGGATGAGGGAGAGGGAGAAAGGGCGGCTGATATCATGAATAATTTTCATGACGACAAGCTCGTCTTTTGAGTTTATCGCTCTTGTATTTCCCCGGCATTCTTTGTTTATGTCTCCGTAGTTGCAGCAGTGTAAACAATCATTCAACACGCATTGACTTCATCGACCGGATGGATTGAAGAATTCTAAGGGTTCTAAGAATAGCGGAATGCTGGAGTATGCAAGTGCCTTGACCGCAACGCAGATCCCGACGACCAGACATACTCGTAGCAACAGCAGATGCTTCAATCAAGGGCTTAAAGCTTCGGCAGTCTACCTCATGTCCGTCCTTCACAGCAACTGTATGCAGGCTGCGTGTACCTACATTAAAGTTGCGAAGAGACCTACCGACCGACAGACCCTGGATGTGACAGCTCAACGGCGAAGCTTCGGGATGTCCTCAGCTAGACCCGATCTCAGATCTGCACGATGTTCCTTGGCCAAACCTGAGAATAACTTCCAATCGGACATGCTCATGCAGACACAGGACTTTTGCTTCCTCTGAGGCTGTCTCTGTCTCTCTGCCTGTCGACAGAGATCTAAAAGGCCACCTTGACAGATTTCCTTAGGGCCTGGGGTCACGTGTGGGTCCGAGTGGACACTCAGGGTTCTGGATGCATAGATTACCGGTACGTATTACCACCAGGAGCACCGCAAGCCCACCGTTACCATACGTGACAAGCTCAGCCGTGTCGGCCCGAATCCCGTCGGTTTTCCAGATCAGGAGAAGGTTCGTTCACTCATGGAAGATGGATGGTGAGATAACATGCGACACCGGTTGGGAGAGGGCGACCTGGATTGAACCAGGTTGCTGGCGAGTTGCTGAAGCCCATGACTTCTCGCGACTACTGCAGGCACAGTTTCGTTCCTTACTTACCATGTACTGTACATACAAATAGCGAGGGTGGCCAGCATGTCTGATCGCGGTCGATGGCTGTTCATGGCCTGGCTGAAAACGTAACCCACCCACATCATGTATCTTCGACTGGGTTTGGCCATCCGCACAAGCAAAATGGAGGGGAACGCATTGTCCTTATATTTGCCGTCCAAAAATGGACCTGTCGAGCCTCTGCACGAAAAGAAGTCGTGTGAAGGTCGGGCGTCGTCAGCCCCGGAAACTCTATGGAGCTATTTATGCTCTTGGGGCGTCGACACGACATCGTGGCTCTTTATATTGCAGAGCGGTTACGAAGTAATCCTGCATCGACATCTGACGACAGCTGCGCCAAGCCAAGGAAGAGCCGTGAGAAAGGGCGTCCCAAGATGATGATACCCAGTGTATAGTACAGTGTCGCAAGACGTAAATAGAAATCGCAGAGACCGGGTTGATGTTGATCGCGCACTCCAACTGTTTTGATCCGGTCAAGATTGAGCGGCGACTGGCGTCTTCTGTCGACGTGTCTTGTAGGTTAAGCTTAAGGGTCTTCTGGTCTTGTATGCACCCAGGGGGGCCACGCTGCCTTACCCGTCGTAGACCTTGACTCTTATCCAGAGAGTGGATGTTTGTGATTCCACTGTGAATCGTGATCCTGATTGCTGAGGGTATAGCAGAATGAGCACATGCAACCCATGTTTGCGATTTCGATGACCAACAAATATGGTCAATTAATGATAGAAGGGAGTTAAGTCGAGTCGATAGCGAGGTCAGCATTAGTATTTTCCCGCCTGCAATTGCTTGATGCTGTCTGGTTGTTTTCGTTGGCCGGCTGGGTAAAGAGGGGGGGAACAGTCCATGGTGATTGAAAAGGGACGGTCTTAATTACCAGATGCGTACAGTATTAATCGTGTCCACCAGGCCGCGACTCCCGACCAAATGGGTAAATTACCGTCTGGAACCCGGAAACCGCTTGCGCCTCCTTGGACTTGGCGGAAGTTCCAAAGCCATCCCCATCCCCAAATAATCCTGTCGAGCCTTCATTTCAATTCGGTTTGCCTCCCGCTGCTCTCGGCCTTCTCATCCTCCCTCCTCCCCCCTCCTCCTTTCCCCAGCCTCAGTTCACACCCGCCATCTTGATTCATGATCCCGTCTACTGGTTCCGTGTTTTCGGCCTCATTGCTGCGGACCACCGTCCTTCGCGTTTCTGTCAACCTTTTCCCCGCCTAACTCTATCTCGCCGACTGAGAGGGAAAAGTTCGCGAGAAAGGAGGCTCTCCTCCGGCCGCTCTTTTTTTCTCATTTCGTTTCGCTTCGCTAGACCCGGGCTTCGACCTCTTTTCTCGCTATATTTATTCTAATTGTCTTTCGGGTTCTTGTCAAAGACGCTGGTGGACGACCGCTGAACACCCTGCTCCCCTAATCACCTCCCACATCACTTCTCGCCTGTGCGGGCGCTTGCTTTCCATCACCGAAACCCCCGATTACAAATTGAAAGCGGTTCTGGCTTTGAGAATCGTTGCTGCTGAGTGCATCGGGCCTCGATAACGTTGCCCTCGACTGGCTTTTGTGGTCTCCCGCCTATACACCTGGTACCAATGGGCCTCGTTCAGCGGGTCACAAAATGGTTGCCCTCCACGCCGAGTCTGCCCCTAGATGACTCTTCGCGCGAAAAGGGCCGCAACCTCTCTAGATTCGCCTTCTTCAGACGGAGAATTAGGCTAAAGGGCAATTCCTCGATCTCAATACCCCTGGGATTTGTTTTACTATTTCCGTGTCTTGTAATAGTTCTTATCCTACTCCTTTTTGTTCGACATCCTTCGTCTCCTGGGGGTATTCTGATTCCTGCGGGCACTCCGCCTTCAATCAGGTGGGTTTTGGAAATGGCTCTTCTCTGTCTACTGTCATTGCTAACCGCATGGTCACCACAGAAAAATCAGCGAGAAATATGACAAGGTCTTTGCTACCGGCTGCCTTCCCATAGAAGAGCAGGACTCCCCTCGCGCAAACGCTGCTTTCGTCGTCCTCGCCAGAAACAAGGAACTGGATGGTGTCGTACAATCCCTCAAGTCGATTGAGAGACACTTCAACCGCTGGTTCCACTATCCTTATGTGTTTCTGAACGATGGCGACTTCGACGATGATTTCAAGGCCACCGTCAAGAACTATACGAGTGCTCCGGTGGAATTCGGAAAGATTGATGACTCCATGTGGGGATACCCCGACTGGGTCGACCACGAGGTGGCCAAGGAAGGTGTCAGGAAGCAGGGCGACGCCGCTATCATGTACGGTGGAATGGAGAGCTACCACCACATGTGCCGCTTCTACTCCGGGTGAGTCTCGCTTCTTTCTTGTTGTCTTTTCTTACACTGACTCGGGTTGTGCGTACAGACATTTCTACAAGCACCCTCTTCTCATGAAGTACGAGTGGTACTGGCGTCTTGAGCCCGAGATCAAGTACTTCTGTGACATCACCTAGTAAGACGACCTCCTGATAGATCGCGCTTGATGAAATGCTAATGTGGATACCAGTGACCCCTTTGTCAAAATGGCCGAAAACAATAAAACGTATGGCTTCACTATCGCCGTCAAAGAGCTTCGCGAAACCGTCCCGAACATCTTCCGCTATGCTTCTGCCTACAAGCGCAAGAACAACATGGACTCGAAAGGTCTCTGGGAGATGTTCCTCGAGAAGCCGGAGGAAGAAGAACAGAAGCCAGAGGAAGTCAAGCAAGAAAAGCTTCCTGAGGAGATTCTTTTGAACGAACCTGGTGAAAACACTGTCCCCGACATCGATCCCGAAGCCATGGAAGGTGAAAAGTACAATATGTGCCATTTCTGGAGTAACTTCGAGATAGCGCGGCTGGACTTCTTCCGTAGCAAGGAATATGAGGAATTCTTCGACATGATGGACAAGAGTGGTGGTTTCTGGATGGAGAGAGTATGTGTCATTCCACTCTCGTCCTCCCGTTCTTGGCTAACTGATTTTCCAGTGGGGTGATGCGCCTATCCATTCGCTGGCCGCTGGTATCCTTTTGGGCCCTGGCGACATCCATTACTTTCGCGACTTTGGCTACCGCCACACCACCATCCAGCACTGTCCTGCGAACGCCCCCGCCCGTCAACTTCCCCGAATTCCTTACCTGGAGATGACGACCGATGACGAAAAGGCGCGCTTCGAGGAGGACGACTATTGGGCCAACCCGGACCCCGTCAAGGAGAATGGCGTTGGCTGCCGCTGCAGGTGCGACACCGATATTGTGGACGTCGAGGGCAAGCAGGGCAGTTGCCTCGCTGAATGGGTAGACGTTGCTGGAGGGTGGGCATCTCCATAGACTCTGATTCTTGCCCTTAATGTTCGCTGTATAATCTTCGCCTCCTCGTTTTCGTACCTATTTGTTCGACTATGAGCATTATTCGGGTCGCCCTTGGAGTTATCTGCTTGAGAGCCTGCATGTTACGTTGGCTGTGGGTTTCTGGACGGCGTTTCACGGATCTGACGGCTTCTTTCCATGGAAGACGGTGTGACCATTCTCATCAATCTTGACAAATTCATCTAGCGTGATTCGTATACTTCCATATCGTTGGGACTGCCGCTTTCGCCATAAAGAGATCCGAATGTCACTCACGGTCTCGTTGTGAAATGTCAGAAGACGCCTTCGGTGAAGACTCGCTGGCCCAGGATGCTATTCACTCCGTTGCTGCATGGTGGACTTCTGCTGAAGCTATTCTCATACGGTGAGCGCAAGACTCCTCGAACGCTGGCGAGAACCCACTGCGCGCTTTTCCATGGGCCTTATGACACGACCGCTTGCTTGATGTTCATCGATGGGCTGTTCTTCTCACCATGTCTAGTGGGGAACCCAGGATTGCAGAGGTGAGCACTGGCAACCACCCAAGCTGGTCTTGAGGCACTTCGAGGGCGAGTGAGACCGGGTGCATCAGCACTGATATGGCAGAGAGATTGCCATGGACCCATGTGGCCTGTTAAGGGTCACCACCTAATAATAAATACCCTGTCGATGTCCCCTGTTTTATTCCTTTCTTTCTTTTCTTCTTTCTCTCCCGATGCCATTCAGGAAATATTCTGCTTGTCTGATTTGTTCTCCCCTTTCCCCTTTCATCATCATCACTTCCCCTTGACTCTTTTTCAATTCACTCATGTCATGAAATGTACATACCTCATAGTCACTTATATCATCCAGTGGATCATACAAAAATCTGACCATGACTCCAGTAGTAACTTAGTAGTTGTCTGCCGATTAGTACAAAGGTGCGGTGCTGACTGTCGGAGATCTACAAAATTACCCTTTTGGGATTAGTAGCCTGATAACGGATGGCTTATCACAGCGCAGGCAGTTTTGCATTCGAAGTTCCGGGGAGTTCCTGTCCTCGGAGCTGAGACGGAGTCTACGAATTGATCCAGACAATCAGCACGAACAACACATGATGAGGTAACCAACCGTTCGGTTGGTCAAATGTTCAGGCTGACGAGTAGGACGTCCTCCTATTCACTGGGTAAGGAGGGAATATCTCCGCCTGACCGACCCTTCAGGTCTTACTACCGCGTTATCCTTGTCATGTGCCCCGCGCATGATAGCTTGCCTTCAGCCTGCCACTAACTTATCACTCATCATTCTATCACAACCCCTCATCATCACTCTTCCTTCAACCAGAAAACCCCCCCTCCTCCTCCGAATCCCATTTGATTCACCTTCACTGCCGTAAACCTCTTTCCAAGTTGGCAAACCTTTTAACTACTTTCGCCTCTCAAAGCGAGAATAACTCTTTCATATTAGAACCTCTTATTCATCCAGTCCACTGCCCATTCACAACTAGTCCTTAGGCACCCAACCCGCTCTTTCTCCGCCCGGACCCTCGGGAACAGCTCCCTAGTATCCACCACTTACTAGTTACTACTTACTTACCTCCCCCTCCCCACGCAACGCAACGCATCGTCGGTCTAGTTGTTCGTCGGGCATCTGCCTATCAGGCTGAGGGATCTCTCGAGGAAGCTCTTCGGAACAAACTGCATCCATAGTAGCTTCTGACCGCTAGAGCTTGCCTCTCGTGAAGTTAACGTATTTACTCCGCTGACTGTTTGTTGTACTTATTCTTGGGCTTACCCGTTGTCCATTGTACTCGACCGCAAAAAAAGCCTCCGCTCTGCAACTTACCTAACATACTACCTCATTTTCCTGCACCTGTCTCTATGACAAGATCACACTAGCATCATGACTGACCCTCCGGAGCCTTCTTCCAGACGTTGCCAGAACGACTCGGCCGCTGCTCCACCTCTGCAGTATCCTACGTTCCCTCCCTTGAGTGCTTCTGTCGAAGAGTGGCTATCTCGATCGAGACCTATCAACATGACGTCAAATCTGCCAACCACAGACCAGACCTCTCGGTCACTGAGTGAGAGCTGGGCCACGATGAGCGTCTCCGATATATACTCCGAGGACGGTACCCGCTCGGAGCAGACCGATATGGGGTCTCTGATCGATCAGACTGGTCCAGACGATGTGGCCAGCCTTGACGAGACTTCAAGCAACAGTGAAATCGATGCAAGTGATGATGACGGATACTACGGTGAGAACTATGAGTCGACGGGCAATGTGTCGGCCACTCAAGAACTGTCTTCTGCTTTCCCTCCCCTCGGGGCCTCGATCGATGACAGTGGTCTCACCACCCAGACTGCTTTCCGTCAATCGACCGAGTCCATCGAGTTTGCTGAACCTGAGAGCTGGCCCGAAGTCGACCGCGTAGAATTGAAACTTTCCATTCGTGTGTTCGAAGGTCTCGAGGCAGCAGCATTGAAGCAGAAACTCTCTAACACAACCCAAGACTCAACGCTTACAGCTACAGTGCAACAAACCATGATGAGAAGATCTTTGGACACAGACAAGCCTTTCCGCGTGCTCTACGTTGGCAGCCCGGACTTCCGAAATATCATCCTGGATAAAATCGGAGATGTTCTGGTGGCAAGCTCTCCCTGTAGCAGTTACGAAAGCAGTTCCACCGAGTCCTCCAGGTATCATGTGGTTCCAACATCCTTCGGTGCCGGGGCGATCCCTAATTTCGCTGAGCTCCTGCCCATTCATGTACAACTTATCGTGGACGAATGTCTCAACGCCTCTGCAGACAGTCAGACTGACAAGCCCAGCACGATTACATTGAGTCTCAAGAACCAACCTCCATATACATCAAAGTGGGCAGGCGCCGACTATTGCATTTCTTCTCCTGTGGAGTGGACGTTGCCCGATGTAGCCATTATTTTTCTAGCAACCACCGACAGCGACAAGGACATGGAGACGCAGAGGCTGGCTCGCATCTTCTTGGAAAGACACGGCGTGCCCACAATGGCAATCTCAGAACGCCCGCTGTGGACAATGACGAGGGATCCTGTTCCCGTGAATCACCACAGTCTTCACATGTGCCTGGAATCGCGTCATCCGGTTACTGGAAAGTCTACACTTGTGAACAGGTATCCGATTGACATCAAGACATTTGAGAGCATTGCGCCCAGACAGCTCAACAGGAACCTGGCTTCTCTGGCAACTATATATCCGCGGAATGTCTATCAGGTCCCTCCCGAGCGTCCAAAGGAGCCGCTAGTGAAGCGAGCTCTGAACGCCGTGGAGCACACATGGAAAGTGACCCCTCTCCCCTTCACCAATGGAAATCACAAACTGGCATTCTTACTCCGCTTGACTGTCCTGTTTGCTGCCGCTGTATTGACTATAACTTTTGGCCATTTTGCTCTCAGGGCACTTGTCTTGTTTCTTACCCAGTATTTTGCACACCCTGGAGTCTCCAGCGCAGTCACAACTCATTCCCAGAATACGCAAACAGCCAGCGGGCTCCCTCTGGATGGATCATTTTCGGTGGTGCCGTCGAATTTAGCTGGTATTCAAGCTCATGGCCGCTCTTCGTTGGAGGATTTTATGGACGGAATCCTCTCTCCGACTCAGCCAAATGAAGGCCCCCATGAGTTCGAGTTTCAGGTGGTTGGCGACTGTCATCTTGCCATCAAACCACCACATAAATCTTTCATTGGCAGGAAGGGCCCACGTTTTAGTGTCCAGGTAAACCGAGATGGCAAGTCCCTCGATTACGAACTTTCGACCTTGTTCGAAGGAGTATACACCTTGAAACTCGACCGAGCTGATGCGTATGGGCTGGTGAATGTCATAATCACGTCAAACTCCAAGCCGCCTTTCACACAGACTACTTCTGTGGACTTTGGTACACCATGGTTGAAGATCCAGAATTGGAAACGAGCCGCCCATGCCATTTCGTCCCAATTTTTGAAGGAGTTTGGCAGCGCGCAAACGGGCCTGTCAGAGGCATATGGACGTATCTGCACCGACCTCCAGGTGCTCATGGGTGACGTCGTCAAAAAAGCCCATTTTCTGCGACGAGAGGCGTCCTCGCTAGGACATGACTCGGTGCAACTATCCCATGGTACCAAAGAACTGGTCCTGTCGAAGTCGGCGCAGCTTGGTCAAGTTGTCAAACGTACTGCCGTGCAACCTCTCTTAGCCGCCTCAGCCGCATTCCAAGGTCACACCGAACGAATCAATAAGGGGGCCAGGGAGGTCATGAGTGGCACATGGAACAAGATAAGTGCTTCCGCACAAGGGCTTGATCTTACGAACATGAAGACGCATATCCGCAATGCAAGGAAGTGCCAGACTTTAAGCAAGGCGCAGCAGAGGGCCAGGAGCCTCATGAAACGGAAGACTTGCCGGCAGACTAGATGTGCGAACTAAGGAGGTCTAACAGCTGGACTGGACTCTTTGAGATGGAATTTGATTCTTGTAGGTAGTAATCTAGCTACAATTCGCTCGCTTTGTTCTTTTGTTGGCTTTTGGGCTACTCGGGTTGGTACGTTCTCGGCGCATGGTCAGGTATTGAGGATTGCTTGACGCGTGGATCTGGATCCTGGGAATACTGGCAGGCAAATGTATCCGGGTATTATCTAGTTGGTATTGATCCTGATATGATATTGATATGACTCTTCTTGACATGAAAGGAGTGTGAATAGGCAACTATGGCCTAAGAGCCATCATGGTTGCAGTACTGTATATATGTAGTGAATTATGTAGGCAGCAGGTATAAGTAAACTATATGCTGTATGTACACACCCCGCGGTCCCTTTTTTTTCCTATTTCAGGCGCGGGGCAGGCCGTGCACAACCTTCCGAGCGGATGGCGCTAGGTGCCTAAGGCTCTGAGGCAATGAAGGTAGCAAACCAACCTTGAACCCACCTTCTTTGGCCGACCAAAAACATTCAAGTTGAATCCCGTCCATATTTTCCCACCCCTTCTTCAACTAATAACTCCATCCTCCCTTACAATCTTTATTTTCTCCCCTATTTTCAGGTATACCTCCACCCGCCTCTTTATCTCAAAATTTCAAATCTTGTCCCGCTCACCTTATTCCGCAGAAATCCATCCATCCATCACCATGTCTGACGTCGCTGAGACCAAGCCCGACCCCACCACCAGCGCTCCTGAGGCCGCTGAGAAGCCCGAGACCACCACCACCGAGGCCGTGGCTGAGGAGGCTAAGGCTGCTGCTGAGTCTGCCGCTGAGACCGTCAAGGAGACTGCCACCAAGACCACCGACAGCGTTTTCTCCATGTTCGGCGGAGGTCCCAAGAAGGAGAAGGTCGAGGCTGAGGATGACAAGGACGAGCCTTCTGGCTCTTCCAAGGCCCAGAAGGCTGAGGAGGAGGTGAGTCAACCCAAAAGTTTCTTTGGTGGATGTGGGAGGAATCACTCGGTGGTTGGGCTTGCGGGTTACTGTTCAGACATACCCCGCTTTCGCCCCTCCATGGCGGAGAGGTTCTGGGTTCACATCTTTGTTCTGTCTCTTCCTATCGCTATCCCGCGGGGAACCAGCTTGACTCAATTGTGAGATGAAGTCTTTGACTAACTCGACACTTGCCTCGACAGGACGAAGCCCCCGAGTCCCCCGATGTCCACTTCGAGCCCGTCATCCGCCTGACGGAGAAGGTCGAGACCAAGACCAACGAGGAGCTGGAGGAGCAGACTTTCAAGATGCGTGCCAAGCTGTTCCGCTTCGACCGTGAGAGCAAGGAGTGGAAGGAGCGTGGTACTGGTGACGTGAGACTGCTCAAGCACAAGGAGAACCAGAAGACCCGCCTTGTGATGCGCCGCGACAAGACCCTCAAGGTCTGCGCTAACCACTACAGTGAGTTTTTGCCTCGATACTGGAGCGTGGGATCTCCATACACGTTTCTGGTGACTGATGGTTTGCTCCAGTTGTTCCCGACATGACGCTCAGCGCCAACGTTGGCAGTGACCGCAGCTGGGTCTGGAGCGCTGCCGCCGATGTCAGTGAGGGCGAGCCTGAGGCTTGCACCCTGGCCATCCGCTTCGCCAACAGCGAGAGTAAGTCCTGTTACTTGCTTCAAATGTCCAGGAAACGATATGACTAACGCATGGTTCCAGACGCCAACCTGTTCAAGGAGGCTTTCGAGACGGCACAGAAGGAGAACGAGAAGCTCCTCAACCAGCAGTAAATGCGGGGAATTCCGGCAGCTTCGAATTTTCCCTCCCAGCGGCAAAGTGATATAGAGGGCTATCTTTAATGCACATTTCGATCGCTCCTTTGCACTACGAATTTGATGTGGACTTCTTTTTCGTCATTTATTTACCTCTCTCTCATCCCCCGCACATGCGGATTCACTTTCCAATAATCCCCATCGACTCTTATTTCTACCTCGTACCTTCTTCCCCTTTCCCTTGACACGATTTGTATTCCTCCGTCCGTGAGGAGTCAGAATGATGAGGCCGGCTCTGCTGAGATTCGGAGTCGATGCATGTACAGACAGATTCGACGTGGTTTGACCATGTGGTTGGATGTATGTCCTCTGGCGAGTCGGCAGTAGATAGACACCATTTCCCCCAAAATACACGTATGACATTATGAAGTAGAAATACTTGTTTTGGTGTACGATGACTTTGGCGTGGGGTGTAGACAAGGAAGGTGTGAGATTGAATGTTAAGGTACTGTAGCGGACAGCCACGAAAATGATTAAAGTACGAAGTAGATGATGAGTTATTCAGGTCTGAGGAGAGTGCCTCTGAAAGTGCAGTCAGTTGGTAGTACTCGAGCAGCAAGTACTGTCTGTAGTAGTCAATCAATCCCCACCCCGGCCTCAAACCCGCGCGGAAAGCTCCCCTCCGAGCTTGCTCTTGCTACCTGCTACCACTTGTGCCTTTATCCCCTTAGCACCTTAGCCTACCATTTATCTCGTTTCTGAAATTGGATTGAGATTCAATCTCAGTCAAGTCTACAGTGAGCCTGAGGAGTAAGAAGGGGACCGACCTTGCAGCCTTAATCAGATCCCATCGCGGCAAACACCCGACCTCAACTCCGCCTTGATTCGTCGCGCCTGCTTGAGCCCGATTGCTCTCCGTCTACTTCCTCCCAAAACAACCGGTCTGCCACCACCCCCCAGACGAAGGGATCCAGCCAAGCTCTCGATTCACTCAATCCCTCACTCCTTATTTTCCCGCGCAATCAACTGAAGCCTATTCACAGCGATGCCCGACGTGAGTCCGCCGCCTCCTCCGTTCCTGAGCATTGCGAGCGAGCCATTGCTCGCTCGACTCGTCACGCGCGGATTCTGAGCCTCGGACAAGACATTGATTGCAGCGCGCTGACCCAGCTCTTCTTCTTATAGGTCAAGCGAAATGTCCGTCTGGTGACGGAGCAGCACATCATGTACGTTCCTACACCTTGGCCTCTGGTCTTTACCTGAGCTTAGCTCGGAGTCACAACCACCTCCACCACCATTCAACCATCCTCTTCAGCTTCCCGTCCCAAAGCAACCACCTTGACACTACCCGAGCCATAATTGCCACGTTACATACCAGAGCGAGAACGTGCTCGCGCTTTCGCTGTCTACTTTTAGTCTCGCCAAAGGACAATGTGAGAAGGTCGTGAAAGTGCTTAGACGGCTAACCAGGCTGTTTCGCGCCCGCGCGCCCCCAACAGGAACAAAGACTCCGGCGTCGAGGGATTTCCCCTGCGATCATGGTCCATTGAGATCTATCTGGTCAACGACCACGGCGAGCAGGTCCCCGCAAACGTCTTCGACAAGGTGACGTACACACTGCACCCGAGTTTCGGCCCGCGGGCTGTTCAGAGTACGTTCTTTGCTTTTTTTACCCTTTTGCCCACCTTCCTTGGTTATTCACGTGGTGGGGTTTCATTCTCGTCTCATGACGCCCTCATCTTTCTAAGTTCTCGCGTTTGCACTTGTGAGTCTATATGTGCATTGGGGAAGAGGGGTGGTTTTTTTCTTATCTTTAGCGGCCTCTGCAAATATTGCGGGTGGAGGGGGCATTTCTCTACTCTTAGCGGCCTTTGAAAATATTAGGGAGAGGGATGTGTTGGGGGCAGAAAACCCCACCCAACATAGGATCTCCGCCAGAGTTCGTGATCCCATGGACTGGCTGACACACGTTTCGTTTCGGGATTATAGCTTTCAAGAACCCTCCGTTCAGAATCTCCGAGGAAGGATGGGGTGAATTCGACATGCAGATCGGCCTGACTGCCGCCGACAAGGAGCATTTCGTTACCCATGACCTCAACTTCGCGCAGGCGCGCTACGAATCCAAGCACGTTATTGTGAGTGATTCGGGCTTGTTCCTCAGTGTTGAGATTGGATGACTGACCTGGGTTGTCCCCGAAAACAGACCTTCAAGAACCCCAAGCCTGCGCTGCTAGCGCTACTGCGTGAATCCGGCCCCGTTCCTGGCGACGAGAACGGCGTCAAGTCGAAACGCGCCGCGGGAGGAGAGGAGGGGTCGAAGAAGAAAAAGAAGACGGAGAAGAATGTAATTTCCCCCCTCTAATTGCGCCCCATCTTGCCGACTGGCGTCGTGGTCACTCGACTAATTCGTGTCAATGCTAGGTCGACATGGACAAGCTGGCCGATGGGCTCCAGCGTCTTGGCGAAGACGATCTTCTCCAAGTGGTGCAGATGGTCCATGACAACAAGGCTCCGGACTCATATACCAAGAACGATGTTGAGCGTGAGTTTCCCCTGCGGCAATTTATTGAAGGCGACAAAAACTAACCACAACCTGATGGATCCATAATCGATAGAGGGTGAATTCCACGTTGACCTCTATACCTTACCCGATAACCTAATCAAGATGCTCTGGGATTTCACGCAGGAAAAAGGTGCTTTGTGATGTTGTTTTTTTGTGTCGGGGCTCTCTCTTCTTTACTTTTCTTGTCTCTCTTCCGACTACCAATTTTATTCGTCCGAATCTCCTGATAAAACAAAACTTAATAATACCACTTTCTCTGCGTTTACCGTGTAACCAACCTTGGTCTTGTCTTGTCTTGCCTCTCGGACGATTGACTACATATCTGCCTGTGTGGCTTTTCCGTTCTTGCGATGGGGGTCTGTTATGGGTCTGCATTCAAGCTTTCCTTTTTGTCTTTGAGAATAAACAGTTTCTGGGGCGGTAAGAATTCAGATACTTTTACTTTTACTGTCATTTCAGCTAGGGATCGGGGATAGGAAGGATCCAGTCTGGTGATGGTGTTCTGGGTTGTTGAGACCTGCGTCTACTGTAATTTATGGCGGGGTGGGGAGTAATTGTACTGGGAATATGATAGGATAAGATGCCATTGCATTGACGCAGGATGGGTCATCGCCATCGACATGATGTAGGCTATGTATGCATGTAATCTAGTCAACTGGCTAGGGTACTTCCCCTATCTGGATAGAATCCACGGTCTAGCTTAGACTATCTCGGGATCTCTAGGGACTGGACGGACTGCACAGCAGGTCTAGCCATGGCCACCCTAGGCTGATTCCACAACTCCACTACGTGTATATCACCACTACACCACTATCCACAGACAATGAGAAGCCATTGAACTTGATCTGGACATGACAATGACGATGACGACCATAGTGATTAGAATAAGATTGATAATAATACATAGCCCAACCCTCGTACGCAAGCTCCGACTCGACTCGGCGAAGAGCACAGACACAAGACCGAACATGATGACGCAAGACACTCAACAAAAAGGAACTCATATCGTGACGAGAAAAAAACCATGGAGGATATCTTCAAGCTCAGGATAAATCAACGCAAATCAGACAGTAAGAGTAAGTGGACCCTGATAACACCATGACGAAAATTCTATATGCGAACCCTGATTTTGAAGATGTAACAGGAAAAAAAGAGAAAAGGAATGAAACGCCCGCTGTGGTGCATTGCAATGCTGTGGATTGAGGAGGATTTGATGTGGTGAGATTTTGGTGAGCAGAGGTGGGTGAGTGGGTGGTTCGAGGTTTAGATTGTTGGGGGTTGAATGAGGGATGAGGACATGTGCAGCGTAGCGTGAACGTGGATCGGGATTAACGTCAGATTGAAAGTTGATGTGTTGCTTAGAGAATACGGTGCCTGTACATGGTAGTCGTGATTAGTATTGGGCTATTTAAGAAGATGTGGGAGGGGGATATGACATACATCTTCAACAAGTCCTCCAGACTGTCGGCACTCAGACTTCGTCCCTTGGGAATCTGACGCATGATCTCGACAAGCGTGGCAAAGACATCGCCGTCTCGGTACGCCAGCAAGGCCGGGGCCTCGATGTTATCCATCTCTGCGATTTCGTGGTGCAGCTTGATGAAGTGAACCGTGGGCTGGCGGCGAGCGATGGTGTTCAGGCAGTCTTCGACGAGGGCACTAGGAGTAGACTTTTCCCCAAAGTTAGCTTGGCCGTTCTGCAACCAATAAGCAAACAAACAAGCAGACATACCTCCGGATCATACAGACACACAACCACCACCGTGCCCGAGGTGACCTTCTCAATGGCATCCAGATACCCCACGGCATCCACATGGTCGACCGACCCATACAGCCGGCGGCGAGGGCTGGGCTTGCGGAGCGTCCGGGCCTGCATCTCCTGCATACGCGAGGTACGCCACTGGCGCAGAAACCGCTCCTCGTCGTCGCTGCCCGACGACCCGTCAGGCGGGGAGGAATTGTGCAGCAGGGTGGCGTCGTCCGTGGTGGACTTCATCGAATAGTGGGGTCGGTCAATGCCGGCCACGCTCAGCAGGGTGCGACGAAAGGAGGATTTGCGGGCGCGCTCAAAGGCCTGGGCGTCGGCGATGACACCCTTGGGGCCTGTGTTGGCGTCGTAGGTGGCATTGGGGATCTTGTAGGTGCTGGTGTTGCGGGAGTGCATGGCAGAGGATCTGTGGAGGTCGTCGTCGTCGTCGTCGTCGTCGTCTGCGTCGGAGAAATGAGGGCGGTTGTGGTCTTCGTGATCGTTATCGTCTGAGGATTGATCGGAGTCGTCTCGATCGGAGTGGTTGTCTCGGTCTTCAGGGTGAGTCGAGAACCGGTCTCGATTGTTCTGAAGGAGTTGATTGAATTCTTCTTGGGCGGCGGATGACATCTTGAAAAGAAGAGAAAAAGAGGGAAAAAGGGACCAAGTGTCGGGGGGGTCTTCCAGGTGTTTTAAAGGGAATGGGTCGTTGACCAGAGGAGTGAAACGATGATATTCTTAGAATGGGGGGAGGAAGACTTGGGCTGTGCCTGGATCTGCGTTGTCGTTCCGGCACGGGTTGGAATGGGCTAGATCGGATTCCCACTTGGGTTTTTCCCTTTGTTTTCTGTTTTAAATTTATGTTTTAAACTTCTGGGATGTTTTCCTCTTTCTGTCCGTGGGTTCGTGTGTTGTCGAAGGGGGGGGGGGGGGGGGGGGGGGGGGAAAGATGTGGTCTGGGCGAATGGGAGCAGCGGAAGAGGGCCGAGAGAGGAGGGAAGCCGAAGTCGTAACCAACACGCAAGTGGTCAAAGGGCCCGTCCCATAGGGCAATTGGGGTACGTTTCAAACGGTTTGACTTTTGGAGGAGCGTCTGATGATGATGATGATGATGATGATGATGATATGGTTATGGTTATGGATCTGGTGTCCTGGTCTGAGCAAAAGAAAGGGAGGAATAAAATTAAGTTATGATGATGAGGAGGAGGAGGAGGAGGAACGGGGCGAAAGGAGGAGGATGGAGAAAGAGGGGGGGAAAGATGAAAAGAGTGGCCGCAGCCAGTGGCGGGAAGAGGAAAAAAGAAAAAGAAAGGCTCTGCTCGGGGCTCGGGATGAAACACGGTCCAGGGGGCGTAGTGTGTTTCAGGGCAGAAGATCAGCCGCCGCAGAACCTTCCATGCCTTCCTTCCCTCCGCCAGGATTGTCTTCCTTCCAGCCCCTCCCGACTACATTTATTTACCATGTATTTATTCCCGACACTACTTCAATTCATAGACACAGAAACTATCAGCCGCATACCTCATGGTTCGTCCACTTTCGAAACACAGCCCACCAAGCTTCAGGGTCTGTTTGAAAAAGATGAACTCGTCCCCAGCTTTTCCAACCAGTTGGAATCCAACGGTTTTTTGTGTACAAACTCGATCGACTGACTCCAACTCAGCCTTTACGACCACCGATCCACCCAACTACATCATCAGGTGTTTCACCTCGGGGTTGAACTCTGTTTGCCGAGTGGGAAATGACCAAGTATAGCAACATCGCCAACCACTCATATTCCTCATGCAGTAAGTGGTTGGCAGTAAGCAAGTAGCAGAAGCACAGTAACTTTCCGACGCAAGCGAAAGTAAAAGAAAAAAGTACCGGAGTACTGTACAGTATGTACTGTGTACTGTACATAAGGATCTGACACGTCCCAATTTAAGGTTGCATGCAGTCCTCTCCGTACAGGACATATCAACCTGCATAGTCGAGTCGCATACTTTTTCACTGCAGATGGGCGCAGCACCGAGTCTGGAGCACAGCATCCCATCCCATCCCGCCCTCCATCCAATCTACTAATTGGCCTAATACACCAAGGGAAACAAAACAAATCCCCCGGCACAAAAGAGAAAATGATAGAAAAGACAAGGAAATCAACGCCCTCGGAACCGAACCCAAACACAAAACACAACCACTCGAACAACATAACTCCAGACCAAACGATGGGGCTAACAGAGTCAAGCTTCGGTTCATCCCACCCGGTAAAACCGTTCCAGATTGCCATCGGACTCCCGATCCATGGATAAGGTATGGCTCCTCCTGCCCTTCCCTCTTCCCCCTCAATCTGGGCAGGATCCATTGCCCGATCCCCTTCCCCTTTTCCAGAGGTCATGCAACCCAAATTGGAGAATCGATGCCTGTTTCAATCTCAGGCTTCCTGCTGAGAGGAGAACGGTAGAGAGCCGGACTCTGAGCGTTGGAATCCGGAGTCGGAACCGAACTTCCTACGAACTCGAACTCGAACTCCTCGTTTCTGTTTTGTTGCCCGGCCTCAGGATCCACTCGGTAGGAACCGGTTTAGAGCCTGGGTCGGATGATGTCTCCATTTGGGGCGGTGCGATGCAAGCCTGAGATGGGATGATATCACCCGGTTGGGAAGTACTACTGAGCGTGCTTTGTGTGTACGTAGATGATTTCACGGCCAGACTGCCCTGGAATTATCTGTCTTTGCGTCGCACCGCTTGACGCCATCGTTGACAGTCGTTCTCTTCATCTTCTCGTCTGCATTACGTTGTTCCGCTTCACGGGTTACTCCGTCTTCAGCCTAAACCATGACTGTCAACCACGTCCAAGACCTCGTCCGAGGGATCGAGTGATCTGATACAAAACGTCTCCAGAAACTAGGGCCATTGATTTGTCATTTGTACGAGAAGTTAGTGGCTGCCTACCAGCTGGGTCTGGTTGTGCCTCAAAACAAACCGTGCACGAGAGCCGGCATCAATAACTGCCATGAAAAAACATTTTGGAAATAGGCAAGACAATTCATAGAAGCACAAGATTTTGGCGGCGGATTGCATTCCATCCCATCCGCTCGGCGACACAAGACAAGAACCCGCTGGAAAAACACTCAAACGTTCGGAAACTATGTAAGGTGATTAGTATAAGAAAATGAAACACACAATTCGCAATCAATCAAAACCGTCATGGCCTATCCGGAAAAAAAAATAAAAAGAAACAGGGAAGAAAGTATCCCTTCCTTTTCCAGCCATCACCCAAGGCAAGGAGATCAATGCGTAAGAAAGGAAAAAGGGTTAAGAAGCACAGTGAAGAAATCGATGCGGAGAGACATGCACCAAGAAGATTCAGAACATAAAGGGTAGAGGACAAATGAAAACGTCACCAGGGTGGTTGGAATAAGGGGGAATAAGACGGAGAAAGCGACGAGAAAAAGAATCAGAATGCCTGCAAATCAAATCTTGGTGATGGGCCAAATCTGAGCCCATCGTCGCACTGATATATCAGCGTAACAACCCCTCCAGAATCCCAATTATCAACAGCATTATTACAGTTCACCGCGCCCGTATCCGAGTATTGTGGTTTTTCGTGGTTGTGTGTGCGTCTTGTCTGCCGTCCGTGGTCCTCCTCACACACCTGCAGTGGTCAACGGGTGACGATAACATCCAGTGCGGTATGTCTGCCACCCGAACTGCCCCTTGGTTTTCGCTTCTTGCAACTGCGCCTGCGATCCGACTAGTACATTAAGCAGGCGCGGCACTAAATTGCTCCTCAGTGAATAAAAGATTATCGTACAGTGGCAGATATGGAACCTAGTGGCGCAGAAAATGATTAAGGAAACTTCGAATGAGGACGTCACGAAAGACTTGAGACAGGGTATCTTTGCTGTTTTTTTGTTCGTTTTCTCGGTTTACCAGGCCCACACCTTGAGCTGCAGGACAATATGTCTCAGTAACTGGTATCGCATCATTGAGGGGCAACGGAGCGACTTACCAAGGAATCCCAAGATCCAGTGCACAAGCTGATGCCATCGTTGCTGACTCCCAAGCAGCTCACACGGTTCTCGTGGCCGCTCAAGGAGCCAACCTTATCACCACGCAGAACATCCCAGACCTACCAGCCTCGTTAATCAACCATTCGAGACTGAATTTATCCTGGATAAAAGACGTACCTTGCACTCGAAATCATCGTAACCAGCAAAGAGCAGTCTACCGGATACAGAAAATGCAACAGACGTGATACCGCACAATATTTGATCGCTCTGGATTTTCCGTTAGTTTCCGCTTCGGCCGCGGCAGAGATAGAAAACGAAATACCTGGTAGGTGTTCAATTCGCGATCCGCGCGGATGTCGAACAAACGGCAAGAGGTGTCGTCGGAACCGGTTCCGAAGGCGTTTCCATCGGGGAAGAATTGAATGGCGTTGATGTCGGACTCGTGTCCAGCGAAGGTCTGAACGGCCTTTCCGGTACGGATATCCCAGAGCTTAGCGAAAGCGTCGCAGGCACCGGAAACAAAGATGTTCTGGTTGGTGGGGTTGATACTGATCGACATGACGTCGCCCAAGTGGTCGGCAAATTCGGTCACCTTAGAACCCGACTCAATATCCCACAGCATACAAGTCATATCTCCCGAGGAAGTGATGATGCGACGATCATTGATGAAGCGACAGCAAGAGAGATAACCCGAGTGTCCGGAGAGCTCACGCGCAACCCGAGTCGGCCCTTCACGCGAGGAGAGGTTGTAGATGGAGCAAATGTTATCCAGACCACCGCAAGCAACATAGTTTCCGCTAGGGGCGTAAGCGCAGGTCATCACCCATGATGACCGCAAGGGAATCGCATGAACCTTGTTCGTGGTGTAGGCATCCCAGATAATGAGCTTTCCGTCCTGCGAGGCGGAGACGAGATGGCGGCGATCAGTCGACCAATGCATAGCGTAAATCTTAGCCAAGTGACCCTTGAGCGTTCGACGGGGCTTCATTCCAATACGAGGTAGAGTTTCGGTCTGGTTTTGCGCGACTTGGCGGACTGTTTCACCGAGGTTAGTACCCGAGAGGCATGGCATGGTGCTGATTGCGCCCTTCGCAAGCTTTCAGGTCGGTTCACCCGATCAGGAACAGCGACGTCTGTGTGTGAGGGAGAGGAGTGCGTACGAGTGGTGTCTGCCAGCTCATCCTTTCTGCGCTTGATCTTGTCCTTGAGACCCTCGGCTTCGCGCCGGGCCGCAGTGATCTTGGCCTGCATCTGTTCGCCGCTCATATCGGCTGCCATCTTGAACAAACAAGCCCCTGGAAAGGGTGGGTGTCAATGGGATGACGAAATGGGTCTAAAGAGTGGAATTGAGTTGGCCGAGGCGGGCGTCGGAAAATCCAGGGGACGGTCGAGACGATTGAGGAAGGAGGGGAGGTGGGAGGAGGAGAGAGGGGGGGGGGGTAAAGAGGCGCGAGCGACAAAGGGCGATAGAAGAGAGAGAACGAGGGAGAGAGATAGATTAGTGGAGTGATGAGGTAGTCGGTGTTGGTCGTGGTGGTAACAAGCAAGGTCGGCAGAAGGAGGGAAGAGGAGGAGTAAGAGGAGCAGGAGTGGAAGAGAGAGAGAGAAGGAGGGAGAGGGAGAGAGGGAGAGGGAGAACGAGGAGGGGGGTTGATTGGGTGTGGAGCGAGCACACGGCGGAAGCGACCGAGCGAAAGAAAGTTTCGACCCGGGGCAATGGTGAGGTGGTTCGGGCGTTTAAGTCAGCAGGGGTGGTGGGAATGAGAGAAGATAGAAGAGAGGAAGAAAATGGCCCGAATGGTGATTAGGAATCAAAGGAGAAAGTGGAAGAGTGAAAGTGAAGAAAGTCGACTCTCCGTGGTGAAATTGTGAGAGAAAAGGGGAACTGGAACCAAAGACAAGAGAGGGAAAGGCGAAGACGGAGAAGGATGCAGAAAATCCCACCCCCCAAAAGCACAGATGACGGACAGTAAGTTAGTTAGTACCTTAGTAGTAGTGAAAGTAAAGTAAAGTATTAGCAGGAGTAGTGAAGTAAGTTCAAGTTAGTGGCAGACCTGTCCTGTCTGTCATCAATAGCAGCCCGTGGTAAGAAAGAGCACCAATGATAAGAATGTACGGAGTATAGCAGGGGAACTATTGGGGTTGAGCTAACCTGGACCAGATACTACTTTACCACTGTGTCTACTGATTACAATTCTACATGAATGAAGTATATGTGTATATGTATAGTCAGTCAAAAAAGTAAACAAGTAACTAACTATAGATGTATGTCAATATACGTATTGGGTAAGAGATGATCCTTCCACCGGAGAAAAAAGGTGAGAACAATGGGGACTGTGTCCATCTTTCTGGTGATGCATAATAAAGAACCAGCCGGTTAGGGGAAGCTGGGCGACAATGGGAGGTCCTGTACTGTACGTACGACGTAGAGACAGGCGGGACTGTAGAGAGCCTCCTCCTCCTTCCTGCCGGTGGTAACAAGTATCCCTCCGACTTTCTGACTAGCACTACTGTATGTGTATTGTACAGTACATACGATACAGACAGTTGATCTTGACCTTACGCAACCATACCATCTCGACATCCTGGATTCGCAGGACACTCCATCATTGGATGAAATCCCCGTAAAATGTTGTTTACGAGTCAATTAGGTCATCAGTCGACACGGTACGAGGCGTATGATACCGTTGCTTACCCTTAGGGTGACCGATTCCAGGCTTTCAGGGGAGAACTCCCGCATCCCAGTCTAGTCTAGGACGGTAACTTCTCCGCCGAGGGCAAGGTACCAAGTTCCGTGGAGGGTGTTCATTGAACACTAAGGAGGTGCACCCTGGTCAGGCCAGTGGAGTCAGGCCTACCGAGCCTCTTCTGGTTGGTCCATAGCTCACAACTGCTCGCCAAGTGGAGGATGTGCAGGACGCGAAAGCAAGCAGACGCGGAGGCCAACAATGCTATGCGGGATAGTGAAAGAAAGACAAGGAGAGTAAAAAAACGATTAAAGAGAATAGAGAGCATTGGAGTGTGTCCCTGAGAAGAAGGCATTGTTGGCACGGATTAGTTCTCCGGATCGCGAATGGCAAGGCCTTCCAGTATTTAGTCGCCAGAACCTTCACAGAAGATGGTAAAACAGTCTTGGGCCTGCCATAGACGCTAAAAGTCTCTATCGTATTCTGCGCCGTTTGTCCCAGGTACTGAATTCACAGGCTCCTGTCTACTTCACAATTCATCAATTGCTGAAGGCAGATAGGCAGATTGACGTGCGCAGCCATTCTGCCACATTGCCGGTGAAATTAGCCGTACTACAAGGCGAGGCAGAACGATCCATGCTTCGCACGAGTCAGGGTTTCCTGTCCCGAAGAGTCTCTCGGAAGTGTATAGTACAGTCCACATTAATACATAATGCACACAGATTGACGAGCCTCGGGAATGCCGATCCCTTTCGTGCTCTGCTAAAGCATAATTCCAGAGCTGTCTCTTGATGGAAATAAGCATCCGCAATCGAGAAGGACCACGTTGGGAAGTATCACCTGACGCCGAGAGTCGTGATCAAATCTCACATCCAGGGGCTTCGGACATTACAGGTAGTTGGTACCTGGCTCAGTGGTACTGGTATCAATCATACCTACCGAGGATTCAGCGCGGTGAAATACCATTAGGAAGTCCTAGGACCGAACTAGATTAGTCTGCCCAATTAGACTTTTCCATCTCTATATTATTATCTCTCTGCTTGTTCCAAATTTCTTCGATTCCTTGACTAGATGGCTAGACTATCCGAATCTCCGATGATGGATGGATTGATTGTTCTTTGGAACCTGAAATTTAATCGAGTCCGTGGAAGACACCCGGATTAGAAACTGCAAGGAAAAATCCGAACTGAAAGTCAGATGCGGCCACGGATCCCAAGACTTTTAAGATTGATGTTCTGTCACTTCGAGATCTTCATCATTTTCCGTCGAGGCTGGGGGTCCCTGGACCCGAAGACTGGGCGGGGGGGGGGATAGAATGGCCCATCGTTGGTGCCTTCCGTGCAGTTCTCCATCCCGGCTGTCCCGTGAATCCGAACGCTTGCGGATACTTCTGATGTACTATGCATACTGCACCTACTCACTGTACTGTAAAGATGACCGTCATCCTTCAACAATTCACAACAAACAGCCTGCATTATTGGCTTTTCTTTTTGGTTTGATCCTTGAATTTCTAGAAGCAGGTTCACTCGAGCAGAATCCCTTCCGAAATGTTCTGACCAACAACCTACTAGGGATTGTGGCTAATTACGGTCCAACTCTTGTCGTTGGGTCGAGCAAGGCTACTGGTTGTTTAATTTGAAGTTTCCGCGATGATAATATCCACATACGTCAAGATATTACAGAATCTGACCCCTCTTTCCTCAGAGCTAATTCTGTGTACTTTCAGTTGACCTTCTTAGGACTTTGATTCGGTCGTCCATAATCGCTTGTTACGTGTCTTTCGTATCGCCTGCTCACTGCTCACTGCTCAGATATCTGCCGCCTCTGATATGCGTCGGCAGGCAGGCAGGAATAATGGAGCGGGATCCGCGACACTGATGGTCAATGTGCGTTGCGGCGGGTCACCAGGCCGCAGGGAAATTGGCCACTACCTGTTTCGGTCGAATATTTCGCAGGTGCGGGCGAGGTAAGAGCGTAACTGACAAACTGTTGTGGTTATTCGTTGTATTCATCGTCTATCTGGAGAAAGTGGCTCCACTGTTAGGATGATCGCTTGAAACCGTGCCTGACTAACTACTCGGCCGCCCCTCTTTGCAAAGGTCTTCATTTATCTCGCTTACTAATCGGGTCGCCCCCTAATGAGCTAACGAAACAACTACTCGGACGAGTAACTACACCTACGTTTTATAACTTGCGAAGGAGTCGAGTTCTGCTTACGCGTGAATCATGTCGAATGATCCAGCTTTGACAGCTTCTTCCCAGCAAGTCGACAGGCAGGTGTGGCGCGGAGTTATCGAATATGCAATTATCTGCTGCAATTGCCCCCACTCTCGAGTACTGTACCTTATAAACATTACAAATCTATAGCACAAGAGAGTACTAGCCACCGAGTCTTCAGCCTCTGAAATTGGAACTGTTTCCTTTTACATCAAGATGCATTGGCATTGAGCCAACGAATGCATCCCTTCCCATTGGCAGGTCAAGGAATCCTGTCTGCTCGGATACCCAGGGATCATTTGGATGAATGCACGTCAGCCTCGGAAGCCTCGAGTACGAGGCACGATTGGCGCGATTAAAATGTCGGGTAGGGTGCATATCATTGAATCAGAGCTGCGGCTTCGAGCCACATCTACATTATCATTGCCTAGACCAGGCTTCCAGCGGTGGGAGGATTCACGCCCTGCTGAGATTGGCAGCTCAGTATTGGCTCTCATACGATCATTTGCATCTCCGTGCTCAACAGATCTACATGCGATGGTGTCTGAGCTGCAACCTCCAGGGTGTGTGTGTGCAGAGCAGATGATTACAGAATATCCGCGAGCATCAACCTTCTCTTTTGTCATAGCTTCCGTCTGATCGCTTCACCCCAGCCTCCAGGGTTCCAGGTTTTGTGTGCATTAGGCATATGTACGTACATATCCTGAAGTGTCACATATCCTGAAGTGTCGCTGCTCCTTATCCGCGCGCGGTGCGATGATTTTGACCTACGTCAGTCGAGTCAGAGGACTTGCCGCCCGCGCCTCACGTTCTCGACACTTCCACAGAGAGTATGCGAATCTCACGATCACGTTGCGTCCCAAGTATCTCCAAGTCGCGCCACGAATAATAACCCCGTGTCAAGGACGTCGAATCTAAGACCCTCATCCTGAAACATATGCATAGAGGCAAGAATATCCTTCCAGAAACGCCTCCGCGCTTAAATATGCTATATATAGCCCTGAATGAAGCCTATCTCGAGGTGACATCGATCAAAATTGAAACGAGGTAGCAAGCCCTATCATCACCCCAAGGCGGGACAAGGGTCAGGGTGTATGGATCAAATCAAACTCGATGTAGCGCGGATTGCAATGTGAGTGTATCTGGGAAGGGAACCTCATCCCCCGACCGCGATGGCGGTTAAACCAAGCCACCTTGGGTTTTTTTGGTCAAGGTGATCGGGTTTGACGGCAGCGGTTCGCGCCTCTAGAGTCTAGAGGCAAAAGAAGGCAACGCCGCCGCCCAGCGGGATGACGGGAAGGAGACGGGGGAACGGAGTTTCTAATCATAGAACTACCTGGCTCACTAATGAGTTACTACTGTACATGATTACTTTTTCACTTGTACGTTGTAGAATTGTGACGTCCGTGCGGGTTGGTTTGGCAGCTGATTGAGGGGTAACACTGGGATCACGGGCAGGGTGACCCTTGTCCAGACGCATCTTTCAGTCAAGATAGGGTGGTTGAGATTGAGTAGGTGTGCTAAGGACTACACCTAGAGCTGATCCGATTCAAGTTGTTGTTGGTGTTGTGGATTTTGGCAGGGTGGAGGAGTTTAACCTACTGGTGCGGTACAACACCTGTGAATGGAGACCGAGCTCGGAGGAAGATGTCGTTTTGAGAGTCTTTTGTATTTAGTCGTCCAGGTCGAGGTGAGAGAATGGGGTTAGGGTTGGCTGGACATGCAGATCTAAATATAGCGTGCATGTGGGAGTTTATGCATAGTAGATGAGGGTCTTATCGCGGTTCATTGTCTATTCCATCATGGGCAGGTATGAAGCATTTTGAGATCAGGTAGTCCGTCAGCGTCAAGGAGAAATAGGGTGGTGGTGGTGGTGGTGGTGGTGAGACTTGAGCTGAAGAATGGTGGATTCGGGGACTGAGAGAGGATCTATGCCTATGGTCGGGGAAAGGCAACGGATATGATATGTCCATGTTCAGGTCAACATGTCTGCTCCATACTCAATATACGTACGATCGGAGATCCATAGTTCTGTCTGCCTGTCTGGTAGGTACCCTGATAGTTTAACGTAAGTAAACTACCGGTAGGTCGACAAGTGATCTCCGGGTCCTCCCCCATATCGAGGCTCAAGCCCCTCCTCCCCTCTCCTTCCTTTTGCCCCTGATGTATATACAATGTAGAATACGGAGTCGTAGGGACCAAAATACCTGAATGTTGTTGTAAACCAGGGGGCATATTTCGCAGGGCCGTGGGTTTACTACTCCTAGAGCAAGGAAGAAAGCAGGGAACAAAAAGAAAGAAAACAGAAGGGAACCAGCATCATGATCAAACCACTATCTGAGAACTATTGCGCCCTGCTAGTCATTTCCTATCCGAAGCAGTAGTCAAGTCCGATGGTGGGTGCGCCAGATGATCTTTGCTCTTAGATCTGCGGCGGACTCCGCTTGTTCAGGGAAATGAGGACTCTTTGAACATTCCATCCCCAATGCCTGGTCAGGAGGAAAGGGACGGCAGGGCGGGCAACCGGGGCAAGCCAGAGTAATTAAAGTCAGTCATAAAGGAATTGTTCAGGAGACAAATAAAATCTTCGTCCGTCGTCTTGATTAAAATACTCATATGTAGATATTGATGTTGATATTTGAGGAGAGGGGAGGGGAGCGGTCCGTGTTGTTGTTATTGTCGGAGCCTGCCAGTGGCAAAGGAAAGAGAGGATCGATCGATGGATTTCTTCTTATTATTAAGAGTGTGTTACTCGCCCGAAATAAAGTACCGGAGTCGGCTGAAGAAACTCGTACTTAATACTATCCATCATCCAGTGGAACGATATCGAAGGTTTTAACAATAAGACAATTATCATACAGAAGGAGAAGAAGAAGTCGAACCGACTCGACTTGTTGATAATCGGATTAGGTAGCAGCATCCGTTGGAGAGAAAAGCAGAGGCAAAGAAAGGGTGGCGGGCCAAAAAGCCTGAAGACGAAACCGCCTGACTCTCTCCTCTTCCTCTCTCACTCTCTCTCTCCGCTTTCGCTTTTCAAGTCCCTTCGCTCGCTCGCTCGCTCTCTCACACTTACTCAATTACTCCTCCTCCTCCTCCTCCTTCTCCTCTTCTGCTCGACTCCTCCTTTTGGAATCCCTTCTACTCTCCCTCGAACAATTTACCACCCACACCCCCCAATTCTTCCTCCTCATTTCATACTCATACCCTCCTCTCCTCCCTCTCTCCTCCTCCCCGTCGCCGCTCGGCTCCATTAACAACAAGTCCCTCTCAGCATTTCCCCGTGCCTGTGTCGCTTCAACAGACCTCCATACCAATACTACCCACCCACCCACCCAACACCCGATACCCCCTTTCACCCTGTTGGGCATAGGTTGTCTCTCCTTCCACCCGGAAAATCTTTAAGCATCACCTGGGTCCTCACCACACCTTTCCTTCGTTCCCGTGAATCATCGTGGCCGTCAGACTCTGACCCACGGTCTTGGCTTTGAACGCAACTACCCTCTTACGACGCTTTGCCATCAATCGCTCTACGATCCTTTATCCTATCTCGTCTCTCGGCACCTGTCGTTCGAGCGTCTTCGTCGGCCCCTGCAGTACATACTTCACCATAATCTCATTCATGACTACGTTTTAATCCCATCGACTCCAAGCAATCCATCGCATCTCATCGTCGGGCCGTGGACAAAACGCCCTGATTCGAATTCTCATCCGATTTTCGTCTTGACCGACCGATAGTCACATCCCGCTTCACCCTCTCGCCCATCATGCGGGAGGTCAATTTCAGCATCCCGAATGTCAATAAGGCCTCCGTCAACATTACGACCACGCTCTACGATCGGCGTGCTCTCGATTGTACATCCACCCTCCCGCTTGTCAACTCACTCAACCATCTAGCTTACCTCACAACTTCATCCGCCCGCATTCGCGATATCCTCACCATCGATGGCGGTGTTGAACGCCTGGTATGCATCCTCAAGGAGGGCCGCACCAAGGACCTGATGGATTGTTGGAAGTGGAGCCTCGCTTTTCAATGTGTTGTTAACATCGGAGTGAGAGGCTCGGAGACTGTGCGAACCCGAGTGGTCGAGGCCGACATCGTACCAGTGGTTGCGACCGTGTTAGACAACTATATTAAGATGATCGAGAAGGCTCGCGCCCGAGCTGAGAACGAGAGTAGTCGGCACTCGTCCAGAAATCCCCTCAAGGCCATCCACGGGCCCACCGCCAGTCTTCCCACTCGTCCGCTCTACGTCGACCAGTCTACAAACACCGAACACCGTCCATCCCGTCGCCAGGCGCCGCCCCCTCACATCGAAATCCCTCCTCACTATCAGGCCAACAATACAGATACCAATGCTATGGACATAGCGTCTTCCCCTCGTGCGCCCATGGCCACTCTTCCAGAGCGACGCAGCCTCGCGATCGAGGATAATCCTCGCCATGCTCATAATGCTCACCGCCACCTTGTGATGCAGCCTCTGTCCACCGCGGCGGCTATGGACACTGCCGACGGCTTCGGCTTGCGCCCGGTGCGTGACGCCGAGAGACTTCCTAGCATGCTTCCAGGCCTACAGAACGGGTTAATCTCTCAGCCTGACTCCCCTACCACCCCCAGTGGTCCTTCGCAGCTGCGAAGCCATATTCACCCGCACGGGCTACGGTCACGTCCCACTCTGTTGCAGCAACAATCAGTTTCGGGCGATTCCGACATTGCCAATGGTGAGGAATCCACCGTCGGCTCCACCGTCGGCTCTGGACATAGTTCCGCGATGGGTGACGAAGTGGGAAGCGAGATTACCGACCCGATGATCGGCATGGAGAACCGGATGGAGATAGATGATGTTGGCGATAGACAATCCGTGCTTGGGGAAGTCTCGAATGCCCATGATTTGACCGTCAACGACTCGTCGGAAGGACAAGAAGTCGACACATTCAATATCGCCCATCGGTCGGCTGTTGATCGGAGCATGATCGAGAATAATGAGGCGCAGACGAATGGCCCCTCGGCGTTATCACCTACCCAGGCTCCTGAAAATGCCAACTCCCCTGTTACTGTCCCGACTCCCTATTCGTCATACATCCGCGATCGTCTCACTCACCAGACTACGACGACGACTATGCCTCGCGACGAGGATGTCTTGATGGCTCTTCAGCTCCTAGCATATGTCTCCAAGTATTGCAGTCTCCGTTCTTACTTTCAAAACACCCACTTTGTCCCCAAGCTTCGGGTCGATCGTGAGCTGAAGGTTCTCGATGGCGGGCTGTCTCCCGTCGAACCTCTCGATGATGAGGACGAGGAGTACCTGCAGCCGGACGATGTCAATATCTTCCCTCTGGTGGAGCACTTCACCATCCGTCATCACTCGAAGGATATGCAATATTGGGCCTGCGTGGTCATGAGGAATCTCTGCCGCAAGGATGAGGCCCAGGGTGGCATCCGGCAATGCGCCTACTGGAAATGCGGCAAGTGGGAAGAGTATCAGCGGCAGTTTGCCAAATGTCGCCGCTGCCGTCGCACCAAGTACTGCAGCAAAGACTGCCAGAAGGCGGCCTGGATCAGTCATCGTCATTGGTGTCACACCAACCCTTGATCTGAACGGATGAAACTTGCCTAATACACATAATGCATATCGGCTTGCATAGCGTCGTATCTGTCATCTGGTCCCGTTTGTCTTTTCTTCGGTTCGTTTCCCAAGGTTTCACGTCTCCCCCTCGTGCATGGCATTCCCGAATCCGGTGGCGTTCCTCTTCCAGTCTAAAGATACCTCTGTTTCTTCCTTTCAACATGTTTCATTAAAGCCAGGCCCAGTGTCTGGACCTCAGTCATATGGAATTTCTTCAGCGGTTATGAAAGTCTTCTTAATTGTGTGAGTGGGTTTTTCTCGTGTTTCTCTTTCTGTTTTCTTTGAATCATATCTGAGCAGCTAGCCCGCTACTGTCTCGATGCCAGACGATTTTCATTTGTGAGTAGCCCTTATTTTATTCTATCTAGCATTGTGATCCATGTCCACTGTTGTTTGCTCTGGAGCGTTTGTCTCGCCCGTTGACGCTCCGTGATTTTGTTATTCCTCTCATCGATGGTCCTGGTATAGGGCTTTGGGTGCGGCGACCATCGATGCAGCCTTGGAATTTTGTTGTTGTGGTTTTGTGGGTCCCACCCTGAGCAGTGATAGTTCTATCTCTCATGGCATTTCCTTGAGTATGGTTTCCTTTGGACAAGGAAATTGGAGGAACTTCTGTGCATCCGATCCACTCTTTGTGTCTGGCAATTGGCCGTAAAACTCCTAGCTATTTGGCTGAGGATTTCATTGTGACTGTTTGATTTGCTGTTGGTCTGGTCTGGTTCCCCTGTGACTTAGCCCACAAGAGAAGATGAACCATTTTAAGATCGTAATCCAGCCTCTGTTCCCATAACCTTGAAGCCTGGTCCATAAACTTGGATGGTGGACCTGAGCTATCGTTATCCTAACTCAACTTTTCTGACCCAATCTTTACCCTTCCTTTCAATCCCATCTCTCCACCAATCCATCAAACCTACTCCTTCCCTTCAAACTGATACGTCGCCCCCAACCGCGCCATCAGATGCTCATGCGCCGTCAACGCCCTTCGTCCAGGCTCCAACGCCCCAGCCCCACCCCCAAACCCGATCGTCTCGTCCGTCCCCTCCTTCCTCCCCTCGCGGTACCGCCGCACCGCCTCACTAGGCACGGGCACCAACTCCGTCTGATCGATGGGATGGCAGAAGAACACGACACTGTACCGGTCCCGCGGGGTTTGGGCGTGCTGCTCCGCGAGCGGGAACACCACCCGGTGGACGGTGGACTTGAGCAGTCCGTCCGTCCAGTAGCTGAGGAGGTCGCCGATGTTGATGAGGATCGGGGGGAAGATAAATCCTTCTTCTTCTTCTGCGTCGGTGTCGGCGCTAGTGCTGGCGCTGGTGGTGGTGCTGGCGCTGTTGGGGAGCACCGGCACCGGCGCCCAGGTTTGCTCTGGCGTTAGGATCTCCAGCCCCGGCTGCCCCGGCCGCTGGAAGAGGAGCGTGATGCTGCCGTAGTCGGAGTGGGCGCCGGCGCGCACGTCGAGCTGGTGGTTGTAGGTGCTTGTGGCGGGGGAGGTGAGGGACGGGTAGTAGAGGTAGCGCAGGATGCTGCCGGTTGGGCCGCGGGTGGGGTCGTGGCGGGTCGTGAAGAAGTCTTTGGGGATCTGGGGGGTGATGGCTTGGGTTAGTTGCGTGTTTGTTTAGGGCTGAGGGGGTTGAGGATGGGCTGCTGGTGGTGTGCTTCCCATGGACTAACCCTCCCCCACCTCAAAACACAATACAGTTCAGGAAGTGCAAGCAAAAGGAAAAACATACACCAAGCCCCAAGGCCAGAAGAGTCAGTACCCTGGCGCAGGTCTTCTGGCACAGGTCGGCGAAATGCGCGATCTCGGCTTCGTGCGGTGCTAGGGCGGGCGGGAGCGGTTGCTGGGCTTTGTGGTTGATGAACTCGCCGAAGTTGAAGGCTCTGTTCTTTGGTTGGTGCTGTTGCTTTTCGGAGGGTAAAGAGGGGATAGGGGCTTGCTTAGGTACTCTTTGAAATCGCCTGTCTGAGGTGGTGGGTTGGCTGGTCAGTTGCGTTGGGATGTTGATACAGGTGGAGGTATAGATCTCACCCGCTGGTGTTCGGGGTCCAGGGTTTCCACGTGCATTCCGGACCAGCCCCGATTCTGGAGGATATCATTACTAATGGTCTTATTTGTGGTTAAGTGGTTGAGGGACGGACGTTGGGTTCAATGCGACAGGTCGCTTTCTCTTCGGCCGGGGATTTGAAGAAGGTTTGCGACTGGGGTTTGATTTTTGGTTAGTTTCTATCGAGAAAGCAAGCAATGCGGGGGTAGATGCATTGATCAAGATCAAGACTTACCAGTTCAAACGCCCGCTTCACGTCCGCCGGGGTAAAGTCGGTGCCCTTGCTGTCGACGTACAGAAACCCGTAGGTGGTGGCTGCATCCAGCATCGCCTTCCCCGCGTTAGGGTCCAGCGGGTTGGAGATGTCGAGGACGGGCAGCTCGATCGGCGCCCCGACGGAGGTGGTGTCTGTCATGATGAATGGAAGAAGTGGTTGAAAGGAGCGAAGATCCCAAAGATTGGAGTCGGCTGAAAGTGCAGTGGACTGGCAGCTTGGGGGGAGGGGGGCAGTATCAAGATTTATAGTACTGTACGTTTAGACTTATCGGGAGCTCTCGCTATCTATTAAATGCCGCGGTCGGCTCGATATGGGGAAACGGGCTCGGTTCCAGCAATAGGTCAGCCTACCAAGTGGGTTTCCATATCGGCTGTCGCTGGAGGTGACCGCGTTTCCGTTTCTAATTGGTATTATTCTATGGGTGGTTGGCGTGAGGCTTCCGTCTCAGTCAATTGTTTGGATATGCATTTTGATAAGAGTATACAGTGTCGCTTCATGCATCTACTGTGCTTATAGTGACTACTGCTTAGCTGACCAGCGAACCACCTTTACCATCCCACCTCCGAAGCTTCCCCATGGAAAATAGATACAGAACAATCCTCAGTCCTCCTTATCTTCCTTTACCATCTCACCCAATGCAACTGGTCAAGTGTCCACCAGCCCCCATCTGAGATCCGATCGAATCAAATCCACCGCCGCGCCGCTCGCTCGGCTACGGTGTTTCCACCCTTCGTTTGGAGAAATGGAGTCATCGAGATATCCAGACAATGTCTAGTTTGTCTGCTATCCTTCAGTGCTTGGCACGTTGGATTGATTGGATAGGTTTTGTCGTGACTGTGGAATGGTCCCAACAGCTTTTATGGCTTGATGTTTATGTAGGGCATGTGTACTATTCATAAGGTCTGTCCGTTTTCAAACATGTTAGAGCAATGGGGAGCCCGATAGGATCAATAGCCCTAGTAGATGACTTGCTGTCACCCTGCTATAGACCAAGTTATGCTAGATTATATGGAGAAAGGCTGAGGGAACGCAGGATTGTGTATTGTGCTTTGTAGTTGACCAGAATGTCTATGCTTGGAGCTGATCGTCTGGACCTGAAGCTTTTGACCACAGAATATACCACTCATTGCATGGTCCGCTTTATGCTTTGGTGGTCCTGAGTCCACGGAAAATATATGTATATACACCAAGAATCACAAATTCGATGAGAGCTAACATCAGTCCCGACTCTAACTGCAACCATCTCTCCTATCTTCAGAACCCCCCCGCACAATTTATCAATGTCAGTTTCATTCCATCTGGTCATCTGGTGATAGGCCAGTTGACGGCCGTCAACACCGCCCTCGTGATTGTCCCGCCCGAAACACACCCTCCGCCTTCGACATCCGATTGTCGCATCATCTCTCCAACTACTGTCTTTCTGACCCTCAGATTCCCCCTCCTCCCTCTCCCTTCTCCCCTCCTTCCACCTGGGTCCTACTCCTCATTTATAGCTCTGTCTACGGCCCTATATCATTCTCACACTCCTCCCTCCTGCTCCTCTGGAGCTCTCCATGCCTGATATCGGTTCCCGCGTCTAAAGTCCGTGACAGAGCTCCCGCTTTCACCATGCCGAGTGAGTCCCTACCTGTAGCTCACGCTGAGCTGCCTGCTCCCCTTCTCACTGAGCTAATGTGTATTCATGGTCCATAACAGTCCGTCCGTTGGATGAATGGGCCTCCACCCGCACCCAATCACTCCCTCTTTCTGCTCTGAAAGGGGCGGTCGTCGGTATCGATGCGTCGCACTACATTTCCCAGCACCTCGTTCACCCCTCCTCCCGCGAGCCTCTTTTAGTCGCACTGGGCGGATTTCCGTTCGCGTTGAAGAATAACATTGAGAAGGAGCTCCAGGTCTTCAAGGATTTGGGCATCGCCTGCGTCTTCGTGTTCAATGGCCTCGACTTCGGCAAAAAGGACCAACGGCCTCAGACACAGCAGGAAGCCGTCCGGGCATTCGAGCAAGCTTGGGACCTCTACGATCAGCAGCAGGCCGACCAAGTAGTGGACGCCTTCAGCAGCGCCGGTATGCAGTCATGCATTGACTGGTTTTTGGATAACACATGCGCTGACTCCCGTCTGTTTGGCCAAGGCACCCCCCGCCCGGATTCCCTCTACCGCTTCTTGCAGCGCATTCTACACCAGAACGGCGTCGATTACATCGTGGCCCCCTACAGTGCTGCCGCTCAGGTAAGAAGTAACACGCTAGGAATCTGAAGTGTATCATCTCACACTCCGCTCCGTCTCGCATAGCTTGCCTACCTGACCAAAGGCCCGAACCCCCTCATCGATGCGGTCTGCGGCTCCTCCGAAACCTTCCTGTTCGACGTCGACAAGCTGATCACGCGGGTTGATATCGATCCCGCACAATTCTTCTGGATCAACAAACAGACCTGCCAAGAGCAGCTGGGTGGGTTGTCGAATGAACAGTTCCTCGATTTCTGCCTGGTGCTGGGATCCACCTTCCTCCCGACCTTCCCTATCTTCGAGAATCCCCTCAACCCCGGTAAGGGCGCGATCGTCCGGGATGCCGTCCCTATGTTCAATATCGCCGGGCGTAGCGCCCTCACCCTCTGCGCCCAATTCGAGGAGGACCGCCGCATGCAGGAGCTCCAGTATACGGATCGCTACAAGCGCGCTCTCATGACAGTGAAGCACCACGTTTACATCGATGTCGACGGACGAGTGGGGCCGATGGACCCAGAGAATGTTTCATCAGATATGCACGAGCTGATCGGCCAGCGTCTGCCAGAAGAGCTTTACTTCTACCTGTCCAAGGGTGTTCTGGGTCCGGACGTGCCCAATTACCTGACGTCGGGTGAAGTATCCGTCTCCCTGCCGCTGGGGGTGGAGGATACCGAAATCTATCGCCAAGTTGCTGGTAGCACGCTCACACCGGTCCGGACTCAAGCGATGTTGTTGTTATCGCATTCTCTCCATCGATTCTACCAAACCAAGGAAATTACCCCGCGCACCTGGTACGATGAGAACTCACAGTCTAAGATTGAGCTTAAATCACTTCCTTCCGTCAAGGAAACTATCCAGGCCTGGAAGATCCGCACCGAACAGCTCCCGGAGGACTTGAAGAAGTTGCAGGTAGGTGCACTTTTCATTGCAAGATGACATCCGGACGCTTACTCATTGATATGTAGGCATCGACTGGTCGTTTCAAATTCGCGGTCCAGAGCTTGAAAAACTCCGATTTCAGCTCAAAGACGCATTCTGCACGAGACGCACAAGTACGCTCCTTCCTTGGTGTTTTTTAGAGGCATGTGAAATCTAATCGTCCACAGCTATTGACGACACAAGACGAAATCCTCGCGAATGTATATTGGCGCTTCTTGCAACTCCGCGGTTATATCGATGAGAAACATCAACTTACGCCATGGGGAGTATGCCTCGAGCAGGCGTTGTCTGGGCTCGATCCTGTCGACTCGCTCGAGGAGGCTACATTCCTTGCCATCGAAATGATCCGCTTCGGCCTCTTGAATTCTAAGCAGTGGTTCTCTCATGTCTCTGGTGGACCCATGAGGGGATCTGGTAAGAAAACCCCTGCCATAGGGCTGGAATTATGGCTGACCCATCCTGTAGATGAGGACAAGAGCTTCAACATGCTCGTATCGCGCGTGGCATGTATCGCCAAGTTACAACACAAAAGCATTGGCTATTCGGGCCCCTTGAGCAGGCAGCTGCTCTGTTATCGCTCGTTGATCTCGGAGGTTCGCTCTACGCTACGGAACCTCATCGAGGTGGTCCTCACTGGTCTCTTGCTCAGTGGGGACGCTGAGCGGGATCGTAAAGACTGGGGCGAGTTGAGCGCCAAGTGAGTGAATCTGGAGTTCTCATGTGGGATGTATCTGACGGATGCAGGCTTCCATTCATCGACGACAATGACTGCGGTCTTGGAATCGCTGTGCGCACCTACCTGGACGACCTGCCCCTGCAAGCCGACCCCACCTCGCCCGAGGCTCGGGCAGAGGTCAAGGCCAAGGGCAAGGAATGGTTCCAACATAGCGACAGTTTTACCGGTAACCTCGACATGGCATTCAAGCTCTGGGATGCGGTAGGTGACTCCAGGAGATGCGTTGACTACATATTGATTGTCGTATAGGTCTACCGCGCATCGCAAAACGCAGGACGGGAGTTCAAGGACAGCAACAAATGGGAAGAGGCAAACCGCTGGCTCGCCGAGCGACGGTGACGAACCACTGGAGATGCAACTGTTGCTCTATGGATACAGGCAGATCAATGATAGCAGCTAGTCCATGGCCTAGCAACGAACGACATCACGATCAACCATCGAGCGCCAGTGGCCTGTAGCCAGACCCTTTGAGGTACCGAACGGAGTCTGCTCGACAGTCCAGCAACCTGCGTAGTATTTCATGTAGCTGCTGCCAATATAGCAATCTAGCGCGAACTATGGGGGAGGATATGGTGTGATGGGCTGGGATTGTGGCCGGTGGCGAAACTATGCTGAGCATTGCACTTCCGTACAGCCGACCTCGCCCTAGCTGAGTAAGTGAATGATTAACAATCAACCTGATCATGCATGTTGAGTAATTTACTCCGGACTTCGTACTCATAAGCACGTACGGCAAGTTGGAGGGAGTATTGCTTAGTGATAGGATTTGTAGTTTGTTAACAACTTACCAAGTGTCCTCTTCCGGTTCCGACCCGCTTCAGCCTCCGCAGTCTTTCCGCCGCGGAAGCTTCCCCTACTTTATTACTTCATTACTTCATTACTTCATCAACACAAACTCCCCGGTTTCCTCATCGGCAGTACAACCTGCCCACCATTCCCCCTCGTTGCTGAACATTCATCCTTCCCCAAGTACCCCACACACACACACACACACACACACACACACACACACACACACACACACATACACACACATACACACACCAAAAAAAGATGGTCCGCCTCAGCCATCTAGCCAGCTACCTCACCCTGGCAGCCGCGACCGCCAGCGCCGCGGTCGTCGACCTGGTGCCCAAGAACTTCGACGAGATCGTCCTGCAGTCCGGCAAGCCGGCGCTGGTCGAGTTCTTCGCCCCCTGGTGCGGCCACTGCAAGAACCTGGCCCCGACCTACGAGGAGCTCTCGCAGGCCTTCGCCCACGCCACCGACAAGGTGACCGTCGCCAAGGTGGACGCGGACGAGCACCGCGACCTGGGCCGGAAGTTCGGGGTGCAGGGGTTCCCGACGCTGAAGTGGTTCGACGGGAAGAGCGACGTGCCGGAGGACTACAAGGGCGGGCGCGATCTCGAGAGTCTGTCGGCGTTCATCGCGGAGAAGACCGGCGTCAAGCCCCGGGGTGGTGCCGCGGCTAAGGAGCCCAGTGCCGTGGTGATGCTGACGGATGAGAGCTTCGCGAAGGTGGTTGGCGGGGAGAAGGATGTTTTGGTCGCGTTTACGGCGCCCTGGTGTGGTCGTGAGTGCTCCCTTTCCTTCGTTGCTTTAAGGGGGGCCTTGGGGGAGCGTTGGGGGATTCTGATGATGATAATGATGATGATGATGATGATGATGATGATGATGCTAATGATTTCACGTATGTGATGGGTGTAGACTGCAAGAGCCTGGCTCCCACCTGGGAGACGCTGGCCAACGACTTCGCGCGCGAGGCCAACGTGGTGATCGCCAAGGTCGACGCCGAGGGCGAGAACAGCAAGGCCACCGCCAAGGCCAACGGCGTGACGGGCTACCCGACCATCAAGTTCTTTCCGCGGGGGTCCACGGAGGCGACCGTGTACAACGGGGCGCGCTCCGAGCAGGCCTTCGTCGATTTCCTGAACGAGCACGCCGGCACCCACCGCGCCGTCGGCGGCGGGCTCAACGCCCAGGCCGGCACCATCGCCGCGCTGAACGAGCTGATCGTGGCCGGTGGCCCCACCCTCAAGGACGAGATCAAGAAGGCCGCCGAGGGTCTGACCGACCAGTACGCCCCCTACTACGTCAAGGTCGCCGACAAGCTGAGCCAGAACGCCGGGTACGTCACCAAGGAGCTCGCCCGCCTGGAGAAGATCCTCGCCAAGGGCGGCTCTGCCCCGGAGAAGCTGGATGATCTGGTCTCGCGCAGCAACATCCTGCGCCAATTTGTTCTGGATGACGCGCCCGAGGAGAAGGATGAGTTGTAGATGTAGATAGGTATTTGTGTCTAGGATGGGGGCAAGGGCATGAGGGGCAAGGGCAGGGTGCTACGGCTGTGTCTTGGTCCCGTGTTGTCTCGCCAGTACCTTATCGATCGGTCCTTGTATGATACCAGGGAAAATGAAGCAATTCTATGACGACGATAAGGGTTCTTATCTATAGTAGCCCTCTTCCCCCCGGGGAAAATCTAGTGAGTGTGTGCTCAACAATAGTACAATTGCAATGCAAGTAAAACAGGGGGTATCTAAACCAAGGAGACAGTAATAAAACCACACCACCTGATTGTATATACAGTACACTCTCTCAACATCCTGCTCGCTCCCAGAGTCCACAAGACCGACCAACTCAGATCCCAACCCCCGAAAGAAACTCCAGAGCAAAATCCCAATACCAATACCAAAACCAATGCTCCGTAGTCCAAGCACCATGCATCCAACCCCCGCTTCATATTACCACACTCTCCCCCCTGCCCACCAAGTCCGAAGACCACAACCCTAGAGAACCTCACTTCCCCGGACTGGGACTCCCCGCCCCGTCCCCGGCACCACCACCAGCCCCAGGAGTGGCCCCAGGAGCAGCAGCAGAAGAAGAAGTGTCCAACAACGCCAACGAAGCCTCCAACTCATCCAACCGCCGCGCCATATCGTCTACTACATTCACCAAACCACGTTATAGTTAGCATCGCATCGCAATGGCATCACATAACCCCAACGCCCGTCTGCTTTTCAGAGGCAGAGATAGAGCCCCAGGGCAGTCGTAGGAGCCGTAGGAACCGTGAGAACCGTGAGTCCGTAGGATCCGTAGGCGACAGTGATACAGGGAGAAAAGGGAGGGGGGCAAACGCAACGCACACTTTCCAAAGATCTCGCGCGAGACGCCGTCGAATTTATGTTGGAGTTGGTCGAGGAGGTCGTCGACTGCGGCGTTGAGTTCGGATTGGGGTTCGGGGGCGGGGGTGGTGGTTGTGCTGCTGTTCGCTGTGGGGTTGGTTGCGGGGGGTTGTTGGTCGGGGGTGAGCTTTGGGGTGTCAGTTTTTTTTTTTTTTTTTGGTTAGTTGGATTGGTTGGACAGGGGAGGGGAGGTGGGATTGTGTATGTGTGAAAGGGGATGGTGATGTTGATGACGATGATGGGGGTAAGTGGGTAGGGGCAAGGGAAGACGGACCGTGGTAGCTGGGGGTGGGGGAGGTGGAGGCGGAGGAGGAAGGGATTTGGATTCTTCGGTCATTGTGCTGTGGTATTTTCTTTGGGTTGAGGTGGTGGTGGTGGTGGTGGTGGTGGTGGTGGTGGTTTTGTGTTGTGTGTGTCGCTGATTTGGAGATTGATAAGTTTCTTGGAGGTTATTTGAGGTATGGAGGGAACGGCGGCGGTGCGGCGATGGGCCGGAATGTTGCCCGGTGCCCGCTTTCCCTGGTGGGCTTGGGCGTGGTGTCGAGGTTGAAGGCGAAGGATGGATTTTCCTCAAGGGAGGACTGAATTAAGACTCTGAGATTGTAGTTCGAAAGGAAGTATGAGGGATATTGAAGTTCTAGACAGACAACAACAGCTCGTTACATGGCGCTCTGTGGTGGAAACACAGGCACGGAAACAAGCAAAGTACCGCAAAGGGTATGGCGTGCCCGTTCGGGATTAGCGGCGATTGACTTCGGTTCTATACTTCATCATCGTCATCTATCGAGTCAAGGCTGCATCAACCCTCAATCACCATTTCAATTTATCTCTGTTTGACGTTGGGATAAAGAGAAACCTGTACAGACTTTTCAATCAAGCCAAAAAGGCAATTGATCAATCAAGTTCAAACACAACGCCCCATACCCACGCCCTCTTAGACCACCCTCACGCCTCCATCTTCATCTTGCTCGCAACAACCCCCCTATACTCCTCATCGATCTGCACCAACACCCCCGGTCCCTCCCGCTCCAACACCTCCGTCTCCAGCACGAAGCTCACAAAGAACGCCGCCGGCTCCGTCGTGCTGGCGTTGGCGCTGATCCGATGATGGCACCCGGGCGCCTCGTACCACGACCCGCCCTGCTCGATCGTCCGCATCGGGTCGTCGTTCATCTTGCACAGCACGGAGCCCTTGATCACGTAGGCTGATACGGACGCGCCGCCATGTCGGTGGGGCGGCGTGGCGCCGTTGGGGGGGTATTCGACGAGCAGGCCGACGATGGTCTTGCCGGGGCAGTTGACTAGTTTGTATTGGTAGACGACGGTGGTGGTTGCGAGGGGGCAGCTGTTGCTGTCAGTGGTGCTATGAGGGTGTGTATGCGAGGAAGCTACCTTGGGTCGTAGGTGGGCTCTTCCATTGTGCGGTGTGTATTGTATAGTTCGAAGGTGAGTTCTGTAGGCGAGTTGGGCTGGTTGTATGGGCTTCACTCGGACTGCTGGTTGCGGGGGGCTGGGTTTCCTTTATGCTTGTGGGATTTGGCGTGGGGACTGCAAGAGGAATTAGAGTCGGGGTAACGATACAAGAATGCGGTTCAACAGCCTGATAGCACAGCTTGAGTATCGCCATGCTCCGGTTACTCAAGGTGAGGGGGTTCGTGTCCGGGTGTCCAACGGATAGGCTATTCGGGATCACGGGAAACGGGGTACTCGAGCAGTCCGGGGAGGCGTTCCAGACCGAGCTTCTTCCACAGCTGCATTGTTTGAATCCGTCAATTGGGAGAGTCATTATTTCTCACCTGTTCACGGTTCCATTATTCTCATGCCCATGGACCCTCACACACGAAAACAGACACATATCTAACTATCCACCCTACCTAACTCCACCCCCAAATCCATCCACCACAACACCACCTCACAAACCAGAACAAATCCCCCCAAATGCAAGCCATCCGCCTCCACCCCGCTCCGCCCACCAGCCCCAACCCCTACTCCCCCACCAACCCGGCCCCCGCAACCGCCCTCCACCTAGACGCCCAAATCCCCATCCCCAAACCCTCTCGCCCCGGCGAGTTCCTCATCCGCGTCCACGCCACCACCATAGTCCGGGACATGCTCACCTGGCCCGAGACCTACCACCACGACTACGCCATTCCCGGCAACGACTTCGCCGGCACCGTCTTAGAAGTCTATGACAGTAGTAGCAGCAGCAGCAGCAGCAGCAGCAGTGCATTCCACCCCGGCGACGAGGTCCTAGGCATGACGCACGCCGACCGCGCCGCCGCCTGGGCGGAGTACACCGTCGCGACAGCCGAAGAACTCATCCGCAAGCCCGCCGGGTGGAGCTGGGCGGCGGCGGCGGGGTTGCCGCTGAGTGCGCTGACGGCGTACGAGGCGCTGTTCGTGCATGCGGGGGTTGTTGCGCGGCCGTCGATCGAGGATGCCGTCAGAAGTGTCGCAAGCAAGAAGCTGAGAATCTCATCCAATCCCCAGTCTGTCTCGGGCGGTGATGAGCCGGATGCTCCGCAAGTCAGGATCTTGGTAACAGGCGCCGCCGGCGCCGTGGGGATTCATCTGGTGCAGCTTGCTTCCGCTGTTGCGACGGTGCACGTCGTCGCTGCGACGAGCTCGGACGCCCGGAATAGGGAGTTCCTGCGAGGGCTGGGGGCGGATGAGACAGTTGAGTATGCAGGTCTGGAGACAATGGCTCAGCAGGCGGGGTTTGATGTCGTGGTTGATGCGGTGGGCGGGGAGTTGCTGGCGCGGTGCTGGGGGTATGTGAAGGAGGGTGGGGCGCTGATTTCGGTGGATTCGGGCAGCTTTGACTTTGTTGAACGGCATAAGGAGCGCGGGATTGGGAGGGAGGATGTTCGCGCGCGGTTTTTTATTGTCGCCGGGGGTGGGGAGGAGTTGCGCTGGTTGGCGGGATTGGCGGGGGCGGGGGCGTTGGTGTCGTTGGTGAATCGGACGTATCCTTTTGAGAGGGTGAGGGAGGCTTATGACTTTGCTAATGGAAGGTCTGAGGGGAGAGGGAAGGTGGTTCTTGTTCGTTAGGATAGTGGTTAGCTTGTGGAGGGTTTATTCGCTGGATGGTGGGCGTGGGTGAGGGCTGGAGATGATGATCAATCGGGTGTAGGGCTTATGGGTGTATCTCTAGGAGACTATCATGGCCTTTAATGCGGTGTAGCTGATAGGCATGAAGATACTCATGAAAGTCTTGAATATGTCAATGTGGTGTTCTAGGCGAGAACTATAGCAAGGTTAAACTAGATTGCTATGCTCCGTATAGTGCTAGCAATCATTGTTTGACCATTCTTTCGTTGAGAAGTCAATTAAAATGTCTCTCAAGCAAGCAAAGCATCTTGATGCTATGTTATACAGGCAGTCTAAAAAGCCATGAAAGTATTTATATCCAATATATAGTACTGTCAAGCATACACATACTAGGGAATTTATCTGTCATTATCCAAGCAAGTAGTATATGGAACAAACGAAGTTATGGTCTATTTCAACCAATGTCATTGACCTTCATGTACAATATTCCCACTCAGAAACCAGCTCAAAACCCCATATTCCTTCTCCAGGGAAATATCCAGTAAGAAAGCTCTTACAAGTAAAGCCCAATCAAATTACCGAATCAAGCCTAGTCCAGCCTGCGGTAACCGACTCCTGCCTCAGGCCACGAGTTCTGGCCGTCTCTCACCGCCCGACACCTACCCTGTGCTTGCCCCAGGCACCCAAATCGGCCGCCCCACCGTCAGCAGCAGGACGCACTCACTAGTCCCAAGACAGTCTAGCCTGCCGTCCAAAAAAATTCCCGCCGCAAAGATTCGAGAAAGCCAAAGTCCGAGGATCTCCATCAATTTCACAACAATATCGTTCCTTCTTTTTTATTTTTTTTTTTCTTTTCTTTTGGTTCCATAACAAATTCGGAGTCTACAACCGGACACACACAGAACCCTCAATATGCCGAAGAGAAGTAAATTGCTCCAAGCTCTGGACGAGCACCGCGGCCGGGACTACGATGCCGAGAAGCAGAAGAAGCTCGTGAGGGCGGCGAACAAGAAGAAGGCGGCCAAGGGGGAGGAGGCTGAGGATAAGAAGGAGAAGAAGGAGGTGAAGAAGTCGAAGGCTGAGGAGGAGGAGGAGGTTGAGGAAGAGGAGGAAGAATCCGCCGAAGACCAAGAATCCGAGAACGAATCCGCCGCCGCCGAAGAAGAAGAGGAGGAGGAGGAAGATGACGAAGAAGCCGAAGAATCCGACATCCCGCTGAGCGACCTCGAGGACGACGAGCGCGAAGACGTGGTGCCGCACCAACGGCTGACCATCAACAACTCGGCGGCCATCACCGCCTCGCTGAAGCGCATCTCCTTCATCTCGGCGCAGACCCCCTTCTCGGAGCACAACTCGCTGGTGTCGAAGGAGGAGCTGGAGGTGCCGGACGCCAACGACGACCTCACCCGCGAGCTCGCCTTCTACAAGGTCTGCCAGGCGGCGGCGACGCAGGCGCGCGCCCTGCTCAAGAAGGAGGGCATCCCCTTCACCCGCCCCGGCGACTACTTCGCCGAGATGGTCAAGACGGACGAGCACATGGACAAGATCAAGAAGAAGCTGTACGACGAGGCCGCCGCCAAGAAGGCCGCCGCCGAGGCCCGCAAGCAGCGCGACCTGAAGAAGTTCGGCAAGCAGGTCCAGGTGGCCAAGCTGCAGCAGCGGGCCAAGGAGAAGCGCGAGACGTTGGAGAAGATTAATGATCTGAAGAAGAGTATGTCCCCCTCCCCCGGCTCCAAACTTTCCTCTACCCTGCTTTGTATAAAGGAATATCATCGATTTGGACATCCCGCTAATTCTGTCTCGCAGAGCGCAAGGCTGATACCTCCGGCGAGGCCGACAACGCCAACGAAATGTTCGACATCGCCATCGACGATGCTCAGTCCAACAACCGAAAACGTGCTTTTGGCAGCGACGGTGCCACCAACGCCAAGCGTCAGAAGAAGAACGAGAAGTACGGCTTCGGCGGTAAGAAGCGCCACTCCAAGAGCGGTGATGCCGTCTCGAGTGGTGATATGCGCGACTTCTCCGTCCGGAAGATGAAGGGCGGTTCGAGGGGAGGTGGTGGTGGCGGCGGCGGCGGCGCCAAGAGACCTGGTAAGAGCAGGAGAGCTGCTGCCAAGGGTCGTGCTTGATTCTTTTCCTTTTCTCTTGGGGGTCTTCATCGTTTCCTACATTTTCATCATTTTCTAGCTTGCTCGGATACCGGATGAGGTCGTTTGGGTTTTCTATCTATTTACAAAAAGCAATTGTTTCCAATTTTGCCCCCCCCAACCCCCTTAGACACCGTGACTGTGCTTGGTCAGGGTTACGAAACCTGTGCATATTGAACTAATCCATGCGTATGGTTGGACAGCATTTGATAAATCACTATTGCTGGCGGTCGTGTAGTTGGAAGGGCTAAAAGTGGTATCTCATTGTGGTATCGTATCATCATACTATGGAAGCGACACCATTGCATCTCCGATAATGTGGTGTGAGCCTGTTGCGGTCTCGTGCTCAGACGCACCGGACAGGTAGCTTCTCAGTAACATCCCGTTGCTCTGGAACTTGAGGGGGACAATCAATACGAGGGACCGGTAATCACACCGAGGTGTATGTCTAGCCTTTCATGGTTAGGCGGCTTGCCATGATGGATATCGACCAGACCACCGCAACACTCATTTCTGTGCTGTAAAGAGCAGCCATCATAATCGTCACTTCATGTGGGTATCTTGGTGTATCGTTCTATGCTTGCCGGTCACGTTCCTACTGCGTCGGAAGCGCCATTGACCGCGCCTTCCATGTTCGCAAGACCGGTGTCCTCCCCTCCTGCCATCTCCCGGATACGATTGAGAAGATTATCCACAGGGAGGCCGATATTGAGTCGCTGTTCCGCAAAAACTAGATCCAGTTTTGCTTTGGTATCATCCGCGTGAGCCAGCGAGTGATCCTCGATCAGCTGCTTGCCGCGTTTCGTGCTGCACTTATACACGATCTTGTCGCAGCCTCGGACCTGGCACGTCCATGTATCCGACTGTACATCCTCGCCGTTAGTGCCATTCGCTGCAGGCTCTTCGTGAGGATGTGCGTCGATATCGGCAGCGGACACGGACGTATTCCGGCTCAGGAAAACATCCTGCAGTGATGTCTTCTGTATAGAAGGTGCTGTAGACTCCGAGTCGGACAAGATCGACCGTGTCCTGCGTTTGGCACGGGTTGATAGCGGATCGCGGACAAGCTCGTGCCCTCTCACCTTGCTGGGCGTTTCGAACTCGTCCATAGCGTCTGCATTGGTGTCGGATTCCTCGTCTGTGTCTGCTGCTGCTGCACTGCGCGTGCGCTTGCCTGTTCGTTTCGTGGCCACTGCACTCTTAGGCCGCAAAACGGATTTGAGCACTCGACGTTTGCGCAAGCGGGGAAGGTCTTCTTGGTCGCTGTCTTCAGGGGAGGATGCCTCGCTTTCTAACATGCGCGGACGAAGCGGGGTGATCGCCTCCTGCGACGCTCCATCATGCTGCTTCGAAGCCGCCTTCAGCTCGCGATAGATGACCTTTCTGGACCAGTCAAATGAGGATGTTTTCGCCCCATCCATGAGTTCCAGGGTAACTTCAGCGCTTGCCGCAATTCGACTGTGCGCATACTCGTCATCGTCAATCTCAAATCGATCGACCAGCGTAGATGCGACAAGATCGAGATTCAGCTGGCGCTTTGCCAAGTATCCTTTTTCCTTGAGATCGAGGATCACTTGGTAAATCGAATTCGCGTCGGCGTTCGTCAGCCCTGACGAGTCTGCTACACGGACTTTTTCATCATCCGACTTCTCGGGAGTACTCTCTTCCTCCTCTTCGGATTCGACCTCGTTCACGCCTTCAATCTGCGCTTTGATCTGTTCATAATCCTCCTATCGCTGGTAATTAGCACCCACAAACCACCCGAACCGGAGAAGAAAATCTGAGACCTACTGGAAACTTCTCACTCAGGTGGGTGAGAATATGCGTAGTCGACCACTGCACATTCTCCTCTCCCTTCAACATCCGCGACAGCAAAAAGTTATGATGCTTGTAGAACACCTCGGCGGAATCATCTGCATCCTCGCAGATCCCATGCGTGTGGCTGACATACTGTTTAGGCAGAAGGTAGAGAGCCGAGACATTAGCCTTGATCATCCAATCGCCATGCATCCCGAGCATGTGCGCGCCAGCCATGTCTTGCCCTCGTGCCAGGTCTTGTCTCTCTTTTTAACCTTCGTCCAGCTTTTCTGTCCTTGTAGGTATATGGGGACGAGGGATAAACACTCACCTCCTCGAATAGATATTCCACACTGGGACCCTCGAACTTCCTCCTACCCCTCTTACGTTTATGTCGATCCGCCAGAAAATATAACAGATCGATCGCCTCCACTACCTCATTGAACATCGGTTTATACCCTTTCGCCGGGGAGATGGAGAACCATCCCGCCCGCCCCGCCACCCAGAACCCGACTTCTCCGTCATTATGTTGGCCATAGGCGTAGTGTGTGACATTCTCTAGGACAATGCGTTTGGTGAGATATTCCGGGTCGAGCACTATCGTTAACAGCATCCCGTCAGCCTCATCAAACTCGCAGTAGCGCAGCATCCAATCCTGTCAATGGGGAAAGACATGAGAAACGACATACCCAAAGACTCCTGTTTTTCCTCCACTTCATCCAAACACCCCGTTACTTGGACAGGATTGTCCGGCGAGGCTGTGAGGAGATTGGCATAGCGGGATTTTCCCGGAAACAAAACGCGGACCTCGGACAGGCTGAATTCCTCCCACTCGTTTTCGTCTGTCAGAGCCGGGTCGCGAGTGGCGAGGACGTTATCTTCGCGCGAGGTCATGTCTTTGGTGGTGGGGGGAGCATGTTGTTATCTGCGGTGCTGATGTTGCAGTGGGGACTGAGGTTGAGGGTTTAGGTAAACCGGAAAGCGACCTGAACGATGATAGTTTTGGATAGTTCGAGGGACTCTGCGTGAACGAGAGAGGTTCTGGAGAAGAATCAGGGCGAGACAAGAACGAAAGAATTTTATATTGGGAAAAGACTGGCCAGAGGAACAGACAGGAACGAGGGGAGCTGAGAGGAGAAGCTTAGAGTGTACCAAGAGAGAGGGAGCGAGATCCGAGAAATTACGTATCATTACGCATTTGGCTGCGGGGGTGAGAGGGTGAATTCCTGGTAATTACGGGCGCATGACAGTCGAACTAACTACTACTCACTCACTTCATTGCCCCGGGATGGGCGGTCATTTCCGACAACAGCCAGCAACATGGCGGGCTACCCGTGACATAGCGGTTCTGCCCCCGCGGACCGCCCGCCTGACCGTCTCGAGTAAACCGGCAGAATGGCGAGGCCGCGAGCCGAAATTTAGAATCCTTCTCCGGATGTTCTTGACCTGCCCTAGGATTCAATTTCATCAATTGTGTCGATTCCACGTCCTACGATTCCGAAATCTTGGTTTCAGGCGCTTGGACTGAGCCTTCACACTCCCCCTCCTCTGCACCTGTGAAACCCTTCCATACTTACCCCTCTCGCGGCCGATGGGCCTCCCCCGCAGCTTCAAGCTCTTCCGCACCACCATGAGCGGAGAAAAGATCTACGAAGGCGTGTTCGGTATGCATGAGCTCTTTCCCCAACCTCCCCTCCGCTATCATCCCCTCTTAGTCATGTATCACAACTAACGCACCCCGCCTTCAAAAACAGCCGTCCACAAACCCCAAGGCGTCAGCTCCGCCGACGTGATCCGCACGTTGCAGAAACACTTCAACCCGTCGCAGCTCTTCCGGCCGTGGCTGGAGAGCGAGCGCGCGCGGCGCGACCGGGAGAGCCAGCACCAGCGGCGCCGGCGGCGGACGCAGCGGCTGGACGTGAAGATCGGGCACGGGGGCACGCTGGACCCGCTGGCGACGGGGGTGCTGGTGGCGGGCGTGGGGAAAGGGACCAAGTACCTGAACAACTTCCTGGGGTGCACGAAGACGTACGAGACGGTGGTGTTGTTCGGCGCGGAGACGGACACGTACGACGTTTTGGGGAAGGTGGTGCGGCGCGCGCCCTACGAGCACGTCACGCGCGAGGCCGTCGAGCGCGCCCTCGACCAGTTCCGGGGGAAGATCATGCAGCGCCCCCCTATCTTCAGTGCGCTACGCGTGCAGGGTAAGCGGTTGTATGAGTACGCGCGCGAGGGGCTGGAGCCGCCGGTCGAGATTAAGGCGCGGCCCGTCGAGGTGACGGATCTCAGGGTTGTGGAGTGGTACGAGCCTGGGACGCATGAGTACAAGTGGCCGGAGGAAGAGGCGATGGGGGAGGAGAGGGAGGTTGCCGAGCGGATGTTGAGGAAGGAGGATGCTTTGCCGGTTGCGGAGGCTGCTGGCGAGGAGACAGAGGCGGAGGGTTCTGCCTCGGGGAAGCGGAAGGCTGAGGCCTCGCCTCCTCCTCCTCCTCCTGCTGCTGCTGCAGCAGAGGAGAGCTCGAAGGTGGAGGAGGGAAGTGGCCTCGCGGTTGCGGCGGAAGAGTCCGTGGACGCCCCCGCTGCCAAGAAAGTCAAGGTGTCTGAGGACGGGGAGAGCGTTCCTGCACAGTCTGAGGAGGCTCTGGCCCCGGCCCCGGCGGCGGAGTCGGCAAGCGCCCCGGAAACTACCGAGAAGAAGGAGGAAGCGCCCGTTCGCCCCCAGCCCGCGGCGGTGAAGATCACCATGACCGTCTCGTCCGGCTTCTATGTTCGCTCATTGGCGCATGATCTGGGCAAGGCTGTCGGCAGCTGTGGACTCATGAGCTCCCTGGTCCGCTCTCGCCAGGCCGACTTCGTTCTGGAGCCCGAGAAGGTGCTCGAGTACAAGGATCTCGAGGCCGGCGAGGAGGTCTGGGGACCCAAGGTGCAGCAGTTCCTGCAAGACTGGGAGGACAAGAGAGCCGCTCAAAATGAGGCCGAGGAAAAATAAATTAATTCGTTATATCTGTGATCCGGGTTGGGCGTTACAATGAAATGGGTGGATGATTTCCTTCAATTCTAAACCTCAATTGTGTTGGAGATAATACATGCTGTAGAAAGCAGGACTAAACGTCCATGGCCGAGAGGATACCAGTGCTAGGACAGCCACATGCTGCCCGGACCTCCGACCTGGGCAACCAGAATCATACAATTCCACATTCAATAATTTACTGACCAGGCTCACTTGGAGCCTGTTTGTTTGAAAAAAAGCGAAGCGTGCCCAACCGGAGACGAACCGCCACATCAATACTGTCGGAGATTCACGCGAACTCGAAATGGTCAAGTCGTCCCACAGCAAGCGACTGGGATGTGCCGAAATCAGTCTTGCGCATACCCACAAGAACAACCCAAGAAGTGAGGCACAAAGCTTAAAGATTGAAGAAATTAAAAACAAATACCGAACAGCTGGTAAACAAAATGGTCCATTTTAGAGGGGTATACCGCTGAAAACACCGGGTAACAAGATATCAAAAGACGGCGCAGAGTATGCATGGTTAAGCGATGAACGAGGATGCAAATGTTCTCTAGAGTAATGCAAGGGACTATTGAGCGAGCGTTTGACTGTAGTTGCGGTGAGCATCGACCAATGCTGCTTCTGGGTTAGCGAACGAAGTTAATATCAGTGCGAGATGACGACTTACTCTGGAGAACGAAAGATTGGCCATTCCTTGATTCGCAAGCACATTGAAGTGTGTTTCCGTCGTTGAAGTCCAAGAGGATACTGTTGGGAAGTTCCTGTCGGTCTTCATCCGGGAGACAAGGCGTGCGAAACTCGGTCAAATGGTATCGCTTGACCATGTTACGATTGCTCGAGTCAAGGTTTCCAGGTGTCAGCACCAGATACCCCTTGTCATCGATACGGATGAAGCGACGTTTCCATAACAGAGTATCGGGAAACTGGACATTGACCTCGCCAATGTCGATTGCTTGGGCGGCTTCACCAGCAACTTCCGGCTTGTTTTGCGGAGCAGTCTCTTCCTCCTTGGCCATTGGATTTAGAGCAGCCATGACGGCTTTGCGGGAAGTGGAAGTGATCGACGACATACGACGGAGGAGCCGGGAAGTGCGGGTCGTCTTCTTCTCGTCAGGAGAAGAGGGTACATCAGGCGAGGGGGTGTCGTCGATAGCTTCTTCGTTCTTGGGGGTAGAGGACTGAGACAATCTGCTTTCAGAGCGCGAGATAGTTGCAATGGAGGGCTGTTGTTCCAATGCCTCAGAAGCTGCGGGCACGTTCGGCTCCTCAGATGGCGTGACGACCGGCTCGGCTTTATGACTTGGTGGGATAGGGAAATCAGGAATAGTATTGTGCTCGATAGTCAGGGGACTAGCAAGGAGGTTGAGCGAGCTTGGCTCAGGGGAATCGGCGGTTGGTTCGATTCCGGTGGAAGGACGCTCACGGATTATGCGAGCGGTTACGGAGACCGAACTCGCGCTACGCGTGAGACCAGGACCAGCCTGAGATACAGGACGCCGTAGGCTGGTCGTGCGAGAGAAGGATTCGGGGTAGAAGGAAACAGGTCTCGAAATCGTCGATGCCTCGGTATAGCCCTTACGCAAGGACTCAAAGGAAGGAGCGGCCAGGGTCTGGCCGGCGGTAGAGGTGGTTTCACGGGTGTTGGAGAACTTCTCCAACGCCTTGATGCGCTTGGATATGCCGGACGAGACATTGATCTTTTTTGCCACTAGGACGGGACTGTTGCTGTCCACGGCCTCGGCGTACGAGGTCGACACCGACCGACCCATGGCTAATGCCTGCATTTCGGGGGGTTGATGTCCAATAGCGCTTGGATTTGAGACGGCACGGGAGTTCCTCCACGCGTCGGGCGAGGTGTTGCCGTTGCTTGTGTTCGAGTATCCGGGGGAGAGGGGGGAGATGCCGACCGAGATCGGCTTGGCCTCTTCAACGGTGGCACTTTTTAATTCTTCCATGAAAGAATCGTCAGAGAGAAGGTTCTCGTCATCAGAGTAGTCTGGAGTAGGTACTTGAATGGGTTCAAGGTAAGGTTTGCGTTTCTCCTTTCGAGTACTACTATGCTGTCGCTCCACATTCGAGGATTCAGGGGTCAGGTCATGCTGCGGCTCGGGAGAGTGAGGCACGGTGATCGACGGCGAATCGGGGGAGGGAATTGGGCGTAAAATGAAAGAGGGAGAGTTGGGCCGAGGATTTAATTCGGATTGAGGAGCCTGAATAATTGAGTCCGAAGTCGAATTGACCTCTTGTTCGCCAGGAACAAGAGGGTTGTTGCTGCTGTTATCCGTTTGGGGTGGCGAGGGGCCAACAATTTCTTCCTTCGGAGCTTTTCCAGAATCGTTCTCTGGTGGGACGTGGAATACGGCGCTAGGCGTGCAGGGGCCACCCGTAGTCTCCCCGTCGTCGGACGCAGCCAAGGCCCCTTCTAAAGCGTGTGTTTCAGATTCCGACAGGGTGGATGTCGGCTGGGAGGTTTTAATAGTTGCTGCAATCTGGCTGCTGTCCTGGTCGGTCGATGCTTGGGGATTAGGGGTCGCCGTGTCAGCCTCCTGCATGGCCAACTCGGAATTCGTCTGACCGGCAACTGTAGGGCTCCCCTCCTCCTTTTGTAATGCCCCAGGAGTCATGGTTCCCTCCGTTTCAGATAGGGGCTTGTTGCCGGGTTCCGAAACTGGTACCGGTTTGTCCTGGAATTTGGCTTCTTCAGGGAGCTGGGAGTTGGTATTCTCCTTATTCTCGGTCGGATCCGATCTCACTGCCCCTTTTTCGTCAGCAGCTTCGTTCTTCTTCTCTTCTCTTGCTTTTCTCGCCAATTGGGTTTTCCGCATTTGAAGTGCTTTCATCAACCGTTCTCGCTCCTGTGATGCACCCGATGATAACGCACTCAGAGACTTGGCACCTGGAGACAGTTTGGGTCTCGATATAGGCGTCGACAATGGAGACACCAGCAAAGGCGGTGCAGTAGGCACTTTGATAGATGCGGGTGTGCCGCTGCCCCCTTGAGACCGAGGACGCGAAGGACTCGGGTTGGCCTTTCGCAAGGACGATGACCGAACCCCAGCGGGCAACGAGGCTACCGGTCGCTTGTCAACAGACCGCGACAGGTTGCCTGCAGTGCGAGGCCGTCCACTCCCGTCCAATGACGGCCGCGGGCCAAGCTTGGCTTTGGGTACGTATCCCGCTGCACGATCAATCTCCTTAATGGATGGCCGGGTCGACTGTGAGGACCTGCGAGGCTCGGAAGCAGCCTGAGCAGCGTCCTCCTGAAAGTTTCTAAGGGAGGGTGCACGCTCCGAAGTGGCTACTGAAGAGGCCCGATCTCTACCTGGAATGCTTTCCAGGGTTGTCACACTTGACTCAGGACCAATGGGCGACTGTTGTACACTGGACACCACGGATGGGGGAACTACCGTGGCTTCGGAGATCTGACTGTAGGCTCTCTGTCGCATCTCGCTCATCGGTGGTATTGCTGGGGCTGTATCCTTGTCTACGGGCTGCTCTTCCGCATCCTCCGCAATCTCCATCAGTTTGCGACGGCGGAGGGAGCTGCACGAGGAGGTAATTGAGCCGGAAGCCGTATGTAGCAGACATGCGGATGACAGGGCGCTTTCAGTGAGTTCCGATGGCTGTTTCACCGAGAAGACCGTATCATGCGGAGAGAAATTGTCTAATATGGACTGGAATTGTACCGTCGTTCGAGCTGAAAGGGAGACGATTGCGTCAGCGTGAGGGGAAATCAAGGTCGAAGGATTGATGAAAGTCGCGCACCTTGAAGCAGCCGAGACATGCCATCGGGCAAGTAGCTGAGCACGACCTTTCGCCGGCGGTACTGGAGAAAGCCATAAAGTGGTAACGTCTCTTCATAACCTTCGATTGCATTGCGCACATCAGGGACCCCACCTGTCCCTCGCTCGAGGAGAGCTACCTCATCCCTTGATACATACCGAAGCAGAAACCTAAATGACAACAGTCATGCGCGTGAGTTTCCGTTCGTGCAATTGGGACGAGTGTGGAGACCCTTGCGACCGGAGAAACAACGGGCGCAGGGGATGCAAGAAGTGTAGTTGGTGGTAGAGGGAGGGGAAGGGACTCACCATCCACCGGCCTCGGTCAAAGCGGTCTGATAGGCTTCGATGACGGTGGGATGATCGAGCCCATTGAGCGACATGACGGGAGCCGCATTGGAGACCGACGACTTGCTTGGTCTGGAAGTGATCACAGCGTGATGTATTTGTAGTGTATTCAGAGGCGGAAGAGAGAGAAAAGGTGGAAGTGGGTGTGTGGAGTGGAGGCGGATGAAGGAGAGGGGAGGGGAAGAACGACAATGACAAGCTCAAAATGCGACCGACGGGTGACTTGGAAAGTGAACGTTCTAGATAGATAGGAAAGAAGGCTGGGGGATCCGACGATTAGAGAACGGGTCTGTCTCCTCCAGGTAGGGCAGCGGGGACACTAGGCTAGAAAAGGGAGAAATTAGTCTTCATATTGTCTCGAGCAGAGGAGAATGATAATTCACAGCAGAAGTGGTGGTCAAGTTATGGTCTCCAATGCTCTCAGGAGTTCAGGGGCTGATCTTTCGAAGGAGGACTCCGTACTTGCAGCGTTTAGTGGGTAGCCTCTCCACTTTTGGGGTTCGCCGATAGGGATACGCGCAGCTGGTCCCCACGTTCCTGAACCTTGGGTAATCTGGTTGATTAGTTGATTAGCAAAGTGACTGCTATGCAGGTGCAGGGTTTGAACCGAGTTGAAGTGGAAGTCGAAGCAGTAACTGCAACAGTGACAGATCTGTTCGATTGAGAATCACTCCAACAGAGTCAATCAATAATGGTGGAGGTGGAATAATTGTCTTCTGTGTCTTCTGCGTCTTTTGTTTCTTCCCCTCAGGCACCGAACCTTCTTACTAAACTTTAGTGGTGGAAAATGGGGTCCTTCCGGACGAATCGGGATACTTCATGCAATGGATCCCTCCCAATCTATTTTATTTATTACATGCCTACAACATCATGCCACGGTTCATGCTTCTGAATGTGTATGAACATGTCGATTTCCATTATGGCTTGATTCAACCACAAACAATGACGGCCACCCTACCATGCCTGTCCATAATACATCAAGTCGAGATCTAAATGCTCGTTTGTGTATCTCGGCGGGATCTTGAACTTGCTTGGATACGATCCTCAAGGTATCCGTGCGGGCAGCTGTATAAGTCTAGTCCGTACCTACCTTTCTTTCGGAGTTTCTCCTGCATCAAATGCACAGCTGCAGAAGCAGCTCCACTCATCCCTTTGATGCGACACCTGCACAAGTCTCTGCAACCCTGCTCAAAGCAAAGATCGACCACGCCCGGATTGACAATGCAGATGGAGCGGCGAGAACTAGTCCACCTGTTGAAGAATTCCCAGAGCAGCACAAGACTCGGTAAACCTCATGTTTCGAGGTTGCTGGTGAGATGCCCCAGGATTCCACGCAAGATTCTAGACCAGACTCGGAATCTGGGCAAAAGTACGAAGCATTGTTCTTTGACTTGTACTATGCACAAAGCGAGTCAAGGGATAGAGCATTTCGATACTCGGTAGTAAGACGGACGCCCACATTTACATCTTTTCAGGGATCGACACGTTGCGAGAGAGCGGTTTAGCGCGATTTTCTGCTGAACCGTACCCTGCAGCTGTTTTGTTTGGGCGATTGCATTGTTGTACCACCTCACTTTCCAGTTCCCTGTCACCATCCGAAGTCATGAACCTGCAGATCAGCCGCATTCCCTCCCGCCCCTTGGTTGGTGTTCCTGCTGATGGACGCATCAACCGTTCTAGCAGATTGGGCCCTCAGTGATGCTTTATGCGACCAGTGTTGTTTTGGTGAGATTTTCGACACCTCTCAGCTCGGCTGGGGCCGCTCGGGGACTGCCGGTGCGGAGACCAGCCGGAGCCAGGCGAGAATATAACGCACCACATCTTCTTTCCATCCGTCGAGGTAGGATCTTCTGATTCTTGAATTAGAGCATTCTACTCCGTAGTTGAATCTTTAATCTCTTTTCCTGATATACTTCTGTTGCAGGGCGTGTCAATATAGGAAGCAGGGAGATCATCATCGAGATACGTCGAAGAACCGACAGAGGGAATGCCATTTCAGAATAAGAGGGCACTATCCAGGTGACTCGACTAAGGCCGGCAATTTTCCACCTGAAATAAGGCTAATTATACTCCTAGGCGATGTGAGGCCCTGCTGAAGACCGGGCTCAGCGGCTTGAGCAAGTTTCTATGCTATCGATCTGGATTGATTACAGTTTTCACTTCAGAGCGTCTACCGCAGACCGAAAGATAATGGAGAGTCCCGTGTGGACATGTCAAAACCACAAGCCACTGACTTTTCATTCAATTGGCATCTCGTCCATGTGGAGTCTCTATCCTCAGATGAAGTGGACGGGTAAATGATTTCTATCAACTACCCTGCACATCTTATGGCTTTTATCACAGTCCGTCTCACTACTAATTAAAATCGGTGTACAAACCGGTCCTCGATGTAACAAATAGCTTCTTGCGTGAAACTGTTAGGCCTTGCTATGTTATACAACCAGGCTTCTGTAATACGACAGCACTGTCTTGGAGCGAAGCTTTACCTTGAACATAACTGGAACGTGCTTCAGACTCTGACCTCACTTTTAAAGCAGACTGGTGCCCCTACCAGCTAGCTATAATTCACTTCAGTCTTACTCTCCTGCACGACTTTACATTGGTTCTGTATTCTGCTGGAGCCTGACTCGATGCGCGCATTGATCAATATAGGAGCCTTAGGCGTGCTCCCGCTGTTATGTACTGGCCATCCACACCAGAAGCCAGTCCGGAGTCTCGACCACTTCCGCTTGACACCAAGAGCCACATACGTGGACTTCCCCACTATCAGTAACCTCGCATCGCAGTATCCCTCTGCTGGAAAAGAAGACTATGTTGAAACATCTACAAGACTTGTTCGAAGCATTTCGCCGGGAACGAGCTTTCGAATCATCGACAACCATTATGTAGGGGACAATGGAGTCGGGCATGTGTACTTTCGCCAGACCCTGCATGGAATCGACATCGAGAATGCCGATTTTAATGTGAACGTAAGGCAATCTAACTCCTTCTCTGAGAGAATGTACTCATGCCTTTAGGTTGGCGAAAACGGAGAGATCTTTTCCTATGGCAGCTCCTTCTTTGCAGGCGACTTCCCACCGAGCGATCCGATAACACAGCCGAACCTCTCAGACCCGATTCTTGCTCTCCAACGAGTAGTGGAGATGTTGCATCTTCCTATCACGGTTGACACAGTCAGAACGAAACCCGTCACATCAAACAGCATCTACATCCTCCAAGGAACCACAGGCGCAGTCTCAGATCCAACCGTCAACCTCGTGTACCTAGTCACCCCAAACAACACGCTCACCTTGACCTGGCGAGTCGAGACAGACGTTCACGATCACTGGCTTATCACATACATCGACGCAGCAACCAGCAACACGATTCACGGGGTAATCGACTACGTCTCCGAAGCATCATACCAAGTCTAGTGAGTCGGGATCCCAACCCCCCACACCAACTGCTCTTCCCCTGCCCAGCACTAACCCCCTCCATCCAGCCCATGGGGCACCAACGACCCCACAGACGGCACCCGCATCATCGTCACCAACCCCTGGGACCTCGCCGCCTCCCCTTACACCTGGCACAGCGACGGGCTAATCAACTACACCAGCACGCGCGGCAACAACGCGATCGCGCAGTGGAATCCCAGCGGCGGGCGGCCGTACCGCAACAACTACCGGCCCTCGTCTCCGACCCTGGATTTCCACTACCCCTACAACCCGAACCAGACCTACCCAGCCGCCTACCTCAACGCCTCCATCACGCAGCTCTTCTACACCGTCAACGCCTACCACGACCTGCTGTACCAGCTGGGCTTCACCGAAGCCGCCGGCAACTTCGAGTTCAACAACGGCGGCCGCGGCGGCCGGTCCCACGACTACGTGATCCTCAACGCGCAGGACGGCTCCGGCACCGACAACGCCAACTTCGCCGCGCCGCCCGACGGCATCCCTGGCCGCATGAGCATGTTCCTGTGGGTGGAGCCGGGGTCCGCGACGGATGTCATCCGGGATGGGAGCTTCGATAGCGGTATCGTGATCCACGAGTATACCCATGGCTGTACGTACCTAACCCTCCCCTCCCTGTACCAGCTTGAAAAATGCTAACCGCCAGGAAATAGTGTCAACCCGGTTGACCGGCGGGCCCCACAACGCCGGCTGCCTCAGCACCCTCGAGTCCGCCGGCATGGGTGAAGGCTGGGGCGACTTCATGGCCACCACCATCCGCATGAAGCCGGGGGACTCGCGCAACACCTCGTACGCGGTGGGCGCCTGGGCGCAGGCCTCCAAGGCTGGGGTGCGCGCGTATCCGTACTCGACCTCGCTGCGCGAGAACCCGCTGCTGTATACGGATGTCAACGAGTTCGATGGCGTGCACGCCATCGGGACGGTGTGGGCCAGTATGCTGTATGAGGTGGTGTGGAATCTGATGGATCGGTATGGGGTGAGTAGCAGTGAGGGTATGGGTTTGGGGGTCAGTGGTGCTGGTAGTCATCGTCGTGGTGGTTTTGGGAAAGAGGTGAAGGAGATGGATGGGAGGTATTTGAGTTTGAAGTTGGTGGTGGATGGGATGACTTTGTGAGTTATCCCCCATGCTTGCTTTGCTCTTTTGGGGCTGGTGGAAGGGGAGGTAGAGCTGACTGAGTGCAGACAACCTTGTAATCCGACCTTTGTGCAGGCTCGCGATGCGATCCTGGACGCAGATGTGGCGCTTACTGGGGGCAAGAATCGGTGCGAGATTTGGAAGGGGTTTGCGAAGAGAGGGCTGGGGTCCGGGGCGAGGTTTTGTCGGATTAGGAGGGTGGGAAGTACGACTATTCCGCCGGGGGTGTGTCAGGATTGAAGGAGGTGAGCTAGCGTGAGTTGAGATGTGTCATCTTATAAGTGGCGTCTATAATCAGATTATAATGCGATGTAGTCGACTTCTTCGTGGCATGTAGTTCACAGTACCAACCCAAATAGTAGGTAGATGACAATCAAACCACGGCGAAAAACGCCCGGCTCTGCATCACCCTCGCCACCAACAGCAGCAGACTCCCCACCAGGAGACTCACGCCCGAATATATGGACAACGATAAGTATCCGTATCCCTGCGCAAGCTCCCCACTGATTGGAATCCCGGCCATAGCACTGTGCGTCACTTCGAGTTAGCCATCATAACCGGCATGCCCCTTTAGGGGGGAGAGAAATCCTTACGAGAGAGAGGCAGCAGCCATCACAACCCCGACCGCAAGACCAACACTATTCGGCGTCGCCAGCTGCAGCGCACATGCCTGTTGGAGCGACAAAATAGCCTATAAGATAGTTTCTCATTAGTCGCTTGTGTCCCAGTATTCACGTTAGAGGTCTGCCTACCCCGGAGGAAAACCCATAAGCAGCCGAAAAGATCACCAGGCCCGCCACGGACGTAACCTTCGTCCAGCATAAGGCAATTATCCCGGAGGTAAACGTAGCCACGAAGCAGCAGTTGAAGCGCCCGTACCGGTCCGCCAGGATCCCCGGTAAAATCCGGCCGAACAGCGAGGCGCCGTTGATGATGGAGATGGTGTAGAAGGCGAGATTGGAGGAGAAGCCCTGTGCGACGGCGTAGGAGGTTGTGTAGAAGAAGGGGGAGAACATGCCGAAGTAGATCATGAAGAAGGCAAGGCAGGTTAGGTGCATGGTGGGATTCTTGAGGATTGAGGGGGTTTCGTGGGAGGAGGGTTTCTGGGACTGCTGCTCTTGAGAAATGATGGGGCTGCTTGATTTTTCTGTATCGAGGGGCGCTGAGGATTGTGTTTGAGAAGTGGTGGTGGTTGGTAAGAGAGGATGGGCTGGGGGTCGACAGCAGAAACAGGAGACGGTCAGAAGAGGGATCATGATGAATGCGACGATACGCATAGTCCATCCGAAGCCGATCCGGGGATTTTGGAGGAGGTTGTTGACTGCAATGGGCCAGATGACACCGCCGAGGGAGGAGCCGGAGATGACAATCCCCACTGCTGCACCCCGATTGACCTTGATGTGCTGGCCGACGAGGGCTATCATGGGGCAGGTGAGGAGTGATTGGGAGATGCCGAGAAGGATTCCTTGGGCGAGGATGAATTGGTAGAGCTCTTTGCAGAGAGAGGTCATCATGAGCGATAAGACGGTTCCGAAGGATCCTATGCAAAGGAGGATCTGCTCGCAAGTCAGCTGGGGTTGGGCGGGTGGTCTGGCGCAGAAAGACGTACTCTTGGTCCAATTGTGTCAAGTAAAGGACCCGAAACGAGTGAGACAGAGAAGATAAAAAACACGGCCAACGCTCCAATCCAGGCGATGGTGGACTGGGACTCGTCCGCCAGCTGGGCTTTCGAGTAGTACTCTTCGAACAAGCCAAACGAGTTCACAAAGCCGACTGTGCAGAAGACACCGGTGAAAGATCCTAGTAGCATGAGACATGCTCGTGGTCTGATTCTGTCAGCTTGCTCGGAGCTCTCAATTTAATGTCAGGGGGGGACTCACGTGTATTCGCTCCGGGGCTTTGAAGGTTGATCGGAGCTATCCATAGTGGAAGGTCAATCGGCTTCTGCTGATTGTGATGGATGTCTTTGCTATGAGCTTGATTAGAATCATCGCTATAGAAGGCATTTTGAATGCTTTTATAAGACTAAAAGAGCAGCAGTGATGAATGAAAGCTTGCTCCGTCCGGAGTGTCCGAGGATGTGTGAGTTTGAATTTATGCTGGCGCAGTTGTCTGTAGCTAAAGTACATTGATGGCTGTTCCTCAGCAAAGATGCTGGATGGTCCGCTCCGGCGCCCGGACCCTCCGCGGAGTCTCCGAGCGGAAGCCGCCAAACAGACAGCCTCCCAACTTCCTGTCGCCAACCACACTTCTTCTGTAAGTCATCTACTCACCGAGATGCTTCAAGCCCTGATGGCTGGCAATCAAAGACTTGTTAACTTGCCGTACTTACAATCCCAGGAGCTGTGACTTCCTTGTCGTGTGACGCAATTCGAGTCGGGCCCAACAGATAACCTCAGTATGAAGCGAAAGGCCGCACCAGAACCTCCTAATCCTCAGCCGAAGCGAACACCTCGCCAGGATCCTGTCTCCTGTGAATCATGCAGGAAAAAGAAAATCAAATGTGATCGACAGCAACCCTGTGCGAGTTGTTCTCTTCGCAGATTGACCTGCAGATATGAACGATCTGGGGCTACCGCGAGAGACAGCAGTACCCGAGATACCCAGACATCAGGACATGACGGCTCTGTGCTCACCCAAAGCTCGCAAGACAAGCATACTATCTCACCTACAAAGACTCTAGCCTCGAAGAATAACAGGGAGTTGATGCAAACAGCCGACTGGCTTGAAAATATTCACATGGCGGCGAGGATTCCAACGGCCACTCCAGACTGGCTGCGCGACGGGCTGCGTGATTCTCGAAGGACTGGTAACTCAATCTCAACTCCTGAAGCTGGTCTCTCCATATCCTCGCTCGCATATATGTACAAGAGCCAGTCTGCTTCCAAAGAAAACCCAGCAACGATAAACCTGAAGGCATACCTCCCTGATAGAGTCCAGGCAATGACCCTGTTTCAATACTATGTCGACTACGTCGGGCCCTTGTACTATATTATCATTCCAAGTCGCGTCAAATCCCAAATCAGTGATATATATCACTCCATTGAAGTCGGATCACCGATCATTTTAGATCATCTGGCTTTACTCTTCAGCATAATGGCAAGCTCTCTTTATCTGCAACTGTCCCTAGAGACTTCTGGCGATGCAGAGGCTTGCAGTCGCGAGTTTTCATACCTGACTGGTGCGGCCCTAATTCAGAGCAATTATACCGTGTCTCCCACGATAGAAGGGCTGCAAGCGACCATGATTGTCATGCACAATCTCTACGCCTGGAATATCCAACCAATGGTCAGCGGACTTTTCGCGCTGGGGTCAATTATTAGCCAGGCTAAAATCCTGATGCTCCATTGCATCGATTCACCCCGAATCCGAGAGGAACGAGAAGCCGATGGTTATGACTGTTTAGAAGTAGAACTCAAAAGACGGCTATGGTGGGACTTGGTATCTTATGACTGGTAAGCTCGACTGGATCTGTGACAAGCATAACTGAATCGCTGATGATTTCGATCAAGGCTCCTTGGTAATCTGACTGGCTCTCAAGAATGGACATATTCGATCCACCAGGGTCATATGAACGTTCAACAACCATCGAATATCGATGACGATCTCATAGAGAAAGAAGGTGCTGTAACTTCATTGCCAAGCTGCGTACCTACAGACATGTCCTACGCGCTCCAGCGCCTCAAGTTGGCCATTCTATGCCGTGAAATCATTGACGCAACATCATACGATTACTTTCATGGTCTAGAGCTAGACTACAGCAAGATCCTTGAGCTGGATCGCAAGTTCCATCAGCTGATCTCAGAGATCCCAGAATTCTTCCGCCTCGATCAGGGCTCCCGGCGCCGATTTGAGTCAACGTACAAAGAGCGACCGGCCATTGCATGGCAGAGGTATGTTCTGCAGCAAGGCTACTTCTCTCGGCTATGCCGATTGCACCGGCATCACTTCATCCGTGGCGCGCGTGACCCTACATTTGCGTGGTCTCATATCATCGGCCTCCAATCTGCTCGAAAAGTAATTGAAATCAGAAAGATTCTAGATGAAGGCGACCTCGGCTATAACCCGCCCGTCTCAGTGGTTTGGTCTGTCACTCACCATGTGTTCATGGCTGCCGTAATTCTCTTGATGGATGCTTGCTTCAGCTGGGATGATATTCTGGCGGAAAGAAGGAAGGAGGAGGTGCTCGACGCCTGCCGCATGCTAAGCAAGGCACACGAGTCATCTTCACTGGTACGAGAAGGAATAGACGCGATGATGCGCGTACTACGAAAGCATTGGAAGACCAGCACTCAATCATTCGCCGCACAACAAGCCGAGGTCAACCCATCCAATGCGCCGCTTGGACCTCGACTGGTCAAGGAACCGCGCATCAATCCAGTAATGACGGGTGTTTACAATACACCATCCACGGCGATCGACGGGCATGATGATGAAATAATAGGAACTGCTACCACAAGCTTACCTATTGATAGGCAATTTGAAGACATTTGGTCAGAAATGCTGGAAAGCGGTAACAATTTAACGCTAGAGTCTGCGAACTGGACGGATTTACTTAATGAGTTGACGGATACCAGCCTACCTGGCAGTCGTCCTTTGGCTCTTGGCTGATGATGTTTTGGAGTTGAGGGAAAGAGGATTTATCACTATTTCAAGTCTTCTGTCGCATGGGACATTTCAAAGTCTTGCACGGAAGTTACAATTCATGAAAGGCATATGTCATGGTTCGTACGTCTTGAAGCTCAAGCACTTGATTCAAGCTCATGCACCACTATCGATTTTGCTACTAATCATTTCACCCGCTAGTCTTCAACTGTCACATTGACCTTAGTAGTGTCTTGACCAGGACGATCCATCAGCTTCGGACGCCAAAGTTAATGCAGCGAACTCACAGAAAGCCACATGATCCTTGATATTCAGAGCAGCATCGAATGGCTTGGCATAATACCACGCTGCATTGGGATATGTTTCTCCTGAACGTTGCACGATGTCAGCCATGCTTCCTGGAAAGCAGAGCAGGAGCAGGGCTCCGATGACAGACCTCCCACTACAATGGAATAATACGAAGCATGTCCTTTCCATGGACAGAACGTTGACAAATCAGTCGGGACAAAGAGAGATTCATCCTTGATTGCTGAAAGAGGAAACTACTGGATGTGAGCTTAGCAAAACAAACTGACCAGGACTTGAGGCATTTACATAAATGTTGCCTTCGACCGTTTCCCATGTTGCGGTCTCAGCAAGGACGGTGTCGTCAACGATAGCCTTCGCGACAGGCATGATGGGTTCTTATATTGAAATAGCTTTCGGATGAGAGAAGAGGAGGGAAGAAATGTTGGAAAGACTACGAAGTTGACATTGCTCAACTATGATTACAAACTGGAGGCACGTGAGTGCGGGGAAACCGGCATACAATAAATAATACCATCGATAAGGATCTATCCGTCTACACGTGGACGACTGGACGTTCCAGGCTACATGAGATTACTCTTCAGTCTGTGGTTCGGTCCATCCAAAATCTGCCCGCCTCCTTCATATCTCTCAAATTTTCGAAGTCCCAATTGTTGATGTCATAGCCATCAATCTCGCAAGGCCATCCGACATGATCAAAATCCACGGCCGGGGGATTCCAAGGCCAATGGTGATTCCAGGCCGAATCTACGCGGGTTTCACCGAGCAGCAGTCCTGGATCTGCGACGATTTGCTCCAAAGTCTCTACCAGCCGTTCTCCATATGACGAGCAGGCCTCTGCCGCAGGTTTATCCACGAGGTGCAACCGGTCATAAGTTCGTTTGACACATTGCTTCCCCTGGTGAACCAGTCGCACAAGCTTCGAGGGGGACATTTCAGTGCACAGTGGATATCGCGCGAGGCGCAGGATCTTCCGCCACATTAGGGTCCGCTGGTCGCCCTTCGGATCGGCCATGTTATAAAAGCCTCGGACGCGTTGAATCTCGTCCCGCAGCGCCACGCGCATTTCCCGCAACATGTTGCCTCTAGCCACGTTGATCTTCTCATAGATCGGAAGCGGTAGCACGGCATCGGCAGGCGGTACCATGTGCGGATGTCCCTTGATCAGCGAGCCCGTGGCTTGCTTGAAGCCGTCGCGCACGTTGAATACCCACATGATGTACAGCATCCAGTCGATGACCTGCGCATCGGACGGCTCCGGGTCGCCGGGCCAGATGTTCTCCACCCAGGTTGTAACGACCGGCATCACGGGCCTAAACAGGTGAAACTTGTCAACCACTTGAGCAATATCCTTGAGCAAGGCCATTTCGATACCTCCACTCGGAACGTCAGCCTATCTACTGTGGACGACCTGCATGACCGTATAAAACGCTGCAGGATTGACGTCGTCATAAGTGAGGGTCAAATGGCCGTTCTCCTTGAACCGGATGCCTTCCTCGAAGTCGTGCTCGAACAGAGCATAGAAGTATGGGGAGGCTTCCGCGAGGTGTCGCGAGCTGCAAAGTATCTCATACTGCCATCTGCCATTGTGGATGACCACAGTTACGTCGCTCTTATAGCAGAGCGTGTCTACAACTCCGTCGAACGGACTTAGGATGTCGAAGCCGCATTCAGGCCAGTGCTCCTCATCATTAGAGGGTTCTGAATCAGTGTCAGTCTCTGAATCGGAAGAAAGTGCATCGTCGGAGGAGGCGGAGTCCACGTCCTCTGGCGGGAGCAAAGATCCCGGCCATTGGAGGACAAACGGAGTATTGGGAGGGGTGAACATTATGCAAAGACTCACCTTTCTTGCAACTGGGCTTCAGATTTGGGTGTCAGCTTGATTGAAAGAAGCAGTTGTCTTCGTCCAATGATTAAGGGTTTGGTGTTGGAACACCTCATTGATGAGGAGCTGGTTGTCTTATATGTAAGAGCCATGTCTTCCTGCTATGAAGAACTCCGTCGTATGTACTGGAGATACTCAGGAAGTTGTTTATATGATGGATACAGGTTGCAGGGTCTTGGTCATCATTCATCGTATACAACTGAAGTGTTGCGACAAACCCCCTCAAATATAGTGGAGATGCGGAAACTGTATGTATGTCCGAAGATCTCCGCCATGGCTCATTGTTCGCAATTGAGGAAGAAAGACAACCTGTGATGCATTGAAGGAAGTTCTTGGTGAGAAAGGCACGATGTATGCAAAAGCACTGAGAATAGGAGCGATCAAACCCACTTGCTTTGCTTGTTGACAGCAGCGTCCATCTAGCCTGAATCAGGATCATGCTTGCTATCAATTAGCCTGGTCTTTCCGGCTTCGCTGACGATAAGAGAAATGCGGGGGCGGGGCAGTTGTCAATGACAGGGCGCGCAGCACTTGGTAACCTACTAGATCCTGCAACAATCCATCCTGGAGAAGCCCTATTGGAGTATAATGCAACACAAGATGCGCTCTTGATTCATCGCGTATTGCAGGGTATTCCAGGCAATTTGTATGGCTCAAGACACTAAACTTAGGTTGGAATAGCGCAGGGCTCGGAACGTCGGAAACGCGGAATGGCGGAATGGCAGCGCGCGCCCTGTCGCTGACGAGAGACTGAAACCCCCCCCCCCCCCACAGGCTTATCGATAAAAAAGCTGTTCTTGCTGTTCTTCCTTCTTTCGCTACACAGGGCCTTTCTCATCCCAACGCCATTGTATATTGTTAAGATCTTCTCTTGGTCACTAGAAGCTGCCTGTCACTTTCTTGCTTTGTGATTTTACCTCAATTGAGTTATAATCCTTCCTTTCCCCAGCAATATTCGAGAGGCGTCTTCCGCAGCGCCGAGTCCTTCCCCGCACATGGATCGCGAACAATTCAGAACAGCAGCGCATGCTGCGGTTGATGAGAGTCCGTCTTTCAGAACTGTGGGACACTGTTCCTCTACTAACTCCCAGCAGTAATCAACTATTTCGAAGGCCTCCCCTCCCAGCGTGTCCTCCCCACCGTCGAACCCGGCTACCTCCGTCCCCTGATCCCCGAGAACCCGCCTGAGCAGCCGGAAGAATGGTCTCAGATCCAGGCCGACATCGAGGAGAAGATAAAGCCGGGGCTCACGCACTGGCAGTCGCCCAACTTCATGGCCTTCTTCCCCGCGGGGGTCACCTACCCCAGCATCCTGGGGGAGATGTACTCGGCGGCGTTCACCGCGCCGGCGTTCAACTGGCTCTGCTCGCCGGCCTGCACGGAGCTGGAGACGATCGTGATGGACTGGCTGGCCAAGGCCCTGGCGCTGCCGGAGTGTTTTCTCAGTACCTCCGAGAACCGCGGCGGCGGCGTCATCCAGGTGACCGCCAGCGACACGGTGGCGACGATGATGATCGCGGCGCGCGAGCGGCGCGTGACGGAGCAGGTCGTCGCGGAGGGGCTCAAGCCGGACACTGTGGAGTACGAGGACCGCATGATGGAGCTGCGGCCCCGACTGGTTGCCCTGGCCAGCAACCAGGCGCACAGCAGCACCGCCAAGGGCTCTCTACTGGCCGGTACCCGCTTCCGCAGCGTCACCGCTCGGCTCGAGGATAACCTGGAGATGACGGCGGCGGGGCTGCGCGAGATGCTCGAGCAGTGCGACAAGGACGGGCTGACCCCTTACTTCATCACCCTCGGGTTCGGAACGACCAACACGTGCGCCGTGGATCGGTTCGCGGAGATCAAGGCCGTGCTGCGCGAGAAGCCCCACTGGCAGCGGATCTGGGTGCATATCGATGCGGCATATGCGGGAGCCGCCCTGGTGGCGGACGAGTGGCAGTACATCGCGAAGGACTTTGCGGAGGGCGTGGACAGTTTCAACCTGAACATGCACAAGTGGCTCCTGGTGAACTTCGACGCAAGGTATGTTGTCCGACGACGCTCGTTGATTGTTTGATGCTATGCTGACACGGCATGATAGCTGCCTGTTCGTTCGCAACCGGTACGACCTCACCAACGCCCTGGACATCACGCCGGCCTACCTCCGCAACGAGTACTCTGACTCCGGCAAGGTGACCGACTACCGCAACTGGTCCATGTCCCTGGGCCGTCGCTTCCGGGCGCTGAAGATCTGGTTCGTGATGCGCAGCTACGGCCTCGCCGGGATGAAGGATTACATCCGCAAGACCATCGGACTCGGTGAGGTGTTCGCCGACTTGATCCGCAGCCGTCCGGACATGTTCGAGCTGATCACCACGCCGGCGTTCGCGCTCACCGTGTTCCGCATCAAGAGCCCCAGGGCCGCGGTGACGGAGGGCGCGTCCGTTTTGCAGCCGGACGAGGCGTCGAACGCGCTGACCAAGGAGGTCTACGAGCTGATCAACTCCCGGGGCGAGATCTTCATCACGTCAACGGTTATCGCGGGCGTGTATGTCATCCGTGTAGTCAGCGCCAACCCGGCCGCGGAGGAGAAGTATATCCGTCGAGCGTTTGAGATCTTGGTGCAGACGACGGAGGAGGTTCTCCGACGGGAGTAATTTAAATAGACCTTGTATTCTTGTATAGATATCATAGTGCGTGTTGGATACTGAGCAGCAATCAATCACGATCGCGACGCCCTCGAGTCTAAATCAACCATTCCCACGCTCATCTTCTAATCACCATTAGGACCATGCACCCGTCCCCAAGAACCTTCCCAGCTTTTCTAATGTGTATCGCAAACCTCCCTCAAGAGATTAAGACCCTCCCCCACCCCCTCCACAACCCCCGCCACCTCCGCCACTATGCCCTCCGCCGCCACCACAACCTCCTCCCCCATGATGTCCACCCCCATGATGCCCTCCACCACTATAGTCCCCACCACCACCACCATCCACATAAACCCCATGCGCCGCGTGATGTCGTCGCGGATAAGAGCTCTTCTTCGACGACATATTATACGATGAGGAATACCGCGCCGGAGGGGGGCGTTCGTCGCTGCGAGAGGAGAAGCACATTGTTTCGCTCTTCGGGAGTTTCTTCTTAGGGAAGGGTGTTGAAGATTATAGCGTGATTAGGGTATTCTGTTGCGATCGGTGTCTCGCGAGATTTTAGAGCTGAGGGCTGAGGCTTGTAGTAGTATGTGTGAAGACTCGATTGTCGTGATTCCCTGTTCTTTGGTCTAGGAGAATGGAGTTTAGGTTGGAACGTAGAGTAAATGATCTGCTCCTGAACCTTTGCGTTGAGTTTGTAACGTTGCCTTGAGTTTTGTCGTGGGTTTGTAACCGTAAAGCGGGATTCAGGCAAAGCTGGGCTTGCAGGTAGGAGGTAGGTGGCATTTATATCCATACTTCTGTGCTGCGTGTACTGCGTTTGCTGCGTTTGCTGCGTTTGCTTCGTGATTCACCGGAATGACAGGGCAAGGCTGAGTTGAGTCATGGGCAGAGACGCGACTACCTATAGTGAAGGAATGAAGATGAGCCTTGCGGGTATGACCCTTTGAAATGGTAGTGAATGTGGTGACGGCGATGCCGATCCACGAGGCTTGCTTCCTTCCTTCCCCGAGACGTTCTTCCCTGCGGTTGGCGTCGGGGATGGTTGTGGTGCGGAGGTCGGGGTCGGGCACGGGGCGTTTGCCGGGGCTGTGCTTCCGGTTCGGGCTCGTGATGTCGGATACGAGAGTGGGATACTTTCTTTTCGAGATGCTGAAGCTATGTGAATGATTTTGATTTAGGGGATTGGTGTCGGTGGTGGCGGAGTTGGATCTGTTTGATGGGGGGATTTGTTGGAGGGTTTTGGTGTGGTTTGGCTGGTTGTTAAAAGTTGTGGATGTTGGAATGGAATGGGTTCCATCTCAGTATACTATTACAGGTTGAATATAGTGTGATTGGAAAGCCTGTGATTTTCTTGTAGATGAGGCTCTTTATATGATATCGAGGATGCTGACTGCTTAGATGAGGGGAATGTAGGGAAATTGTAGAATACATTCTACTTCGTCTGTAAGCTCTTTACTTGTATAGTACAGTAAATGCACAACCGGGTGAAAGTAAGCGATTTGATCTCAATACTTAACGTTCAATACAATACCTTATTTGATCATACTACCTATCGGCTATAGTTACTATGAACATATCTGGGCGCCCTTTTTCAGATAGTTCAATTTTCTTCTCTACTTGGGACTAGTCACACATCAAAAGAGGTAGTAGTTCTCATCCAAGATATGATGGTGCGTAACTGTTGGCTGTCTATTACTGATTCATATACTCTGTCCTTGATAAACTAGTATACCTGTATGAATTATACTACATATACTGTATCATTTTTGTATATAGAAGTAAAAAAGCTGTATTACCCTAATATATCCTAACAAAATATCTTATCACCAAAGCGGAAGTATACCAGTCCTGCAGAGAAAGGCACAGAAAGAAGTAGTGAAACATAAAGAAAAGCTAGAAAGGCTTAAGACAACAGCAGCTTGATACAGTAAAGACCCGGTTTAACATGTATTACAACAGTAGTACTTATCTGTTTCAGTGCTTATTCGAGTTAAAGTAGCTCGCGCAGAATAGGACCATTGATCAATACGGGAATCGAACCCTCTGCTATCTGAATAGCTGCCATGCGGCCGCCCAACTCAGCCATTGACCTGCCCAAAGCCTCGGGGCAGACTTCCTTTGGAAGACTCCGGGCGGCCACTACTAGGCCACCCTTGACACTACTAGTATAATCGCGCTACAAGTGCCTTTGACTATACGAATCACACAGAAGAGCCCCGCAGGTAGGCAGTGCGTAGATGTGGCATCTCTGGAATAAGCAGAAGAGGAGGTGCAAGTTCGCTTCTTCCACTATCTAAGGGTTCAGAGTCGGGTCGAACCCTCATTGATGGATTCTTTTCCTAGTCCCTCCTGCCTGTGAAGTATGAAGATACACTAACAATAGGCGATGCATGACTGAACCTGGAGGTTGCAGCAGCCCCACCTCATCTTATAGACTTCTTACAGATACACAGTAAAGTACCTATTATTCTTTTCAATCCTATCGACTCAGAAATCTCTCTCCGCGTTGATCTGCGTCGGTACAAGCGAAAGTAGCGGCCTGAGGCGTTAAGAAAAGTGGGGCTATATTTTAGTTTCGAGTGCTACTGTACAACAAACAGCCGCGGTGGTGTAGTGGTATTAACATTGCAGAGCCCCCGTACTAGCCTTATGCTAGCGGTGTGGAGTGCAGATTCTGGGTTCGAGTCCCAGTCGCGGCATTCTTTTTGCTTGCTTGCCAGGGGGGAAGGCGTCATGAGGATGTCATCGGTGAGAAGAGTGTGCTGGGGGGTGGGTGTTGCGGAGGATGCGTCATACAACAAGAAGTGTGGATGGAATGGTTGTTGTAGTAGAAAGAATCTATGACTAGTATAACGGATAGAAGCCCCACTTTTGAACACTAACGGATGCAGACACGCTAACTATGGCATTCGAGTGTGTAGCGATGATGTGCGATGTACATGCTATGCAGCAAGTAATCTAGCGTTGGGGTTAGGATGGCGAATGAGGGAAGAGGGAAGAAGCTTGGGACGTACAGTTCGTAGAGTATCGACTGGAAGGCCGACAGCCCAGAACGGTATAGCGATACAATCGCCCCAGTAGCTATCACTACAAGCAAGGGCCGCAAAACCAGCAGGACGGCATACTTCACGATCGACACGGTAGTTCGCCTGCTGAGTTAGATACTGCAAGTCAATATCCTTCACGATCGCTAGCTTACACAATAGAAGTTGTCATGTTTGTCGATCTTAACGATGACTAGTAATCAAGGGGTCTTATTGCATGGTACTGAAGGTAGGGTCTAGTCTGCCTTTTAGGCTATTATATTATCCAGTCTCAATCCCCGGGAGGGGATGACTGTCTTTATATCCGCTTCCCCTAAAGCCACGGTGCTATTTAAAGCAATGTACTACAGGTGGCAAGAGTATTGATACACGTACTCTGACGTCGAGAATTATGCTGCCTGGATTTGTGCAATCTGGCTGATATCTTTGCCGCTTTTTCCGACTTCCTGGCCAGGTAAGGTGGAACCAGGAAATAGCCAACCAGGCTCCTTTTCTGCAGGCATGAGGCCACATCTGATGGATGTGACTGGATTTCCAAGGCGAAAGTTGAGTTAGCCGGCTCCACCCGGACCGCAAAGTCTCCACATCCTTTCAGCCCTACAGGGCTGGCTGCCCAGGGGGTACTTCCCCCAAATTCCCAACTGACTTTTACTGGAAACATCCTCTTCTCTCAGTCTTAAGTCATACTGCTGTTCTGTCAGTACATCACCACGTATGGGATCGTCTGCTGCCATTCGAATCACACCCAGTCCTACAAACCGGACGCCTACAAGTCAATGGGTTGAATATCCACATTTGCGGACCTCCTCGCCATCCGACAAAATCTAATGCTCGACTCTCCCTGGCCGCCGTCTGGTGCCAGTCCATAAACGCACACAATGCATCCGGAAGACACTCCTCGCTTCACCCACTTTTCTTGTCAATCTCAAGAGGTCACGGTAGCCTCCACCTTCGAAGGTCTCCTGGCCGAACGGTCCGAGCATCTCTCAGAATCAAATGACCTTAAAGCAGACGCATGGTGGTTGGACATCTGCGACGCCTCCGAAGAGGATGTCAAGGCGGTCGGGCAAGCTCTTTCTATTCACCCCTTGACGGCCGAAGACATCGTCACGCGGGAGCCACGTGAGAAGATCGAGACCTTCCGAAATTACTATCTGATTTCATTCCAGACCCTGCTGTCAGCCACGAGTAACAGCTTGGAGCGGATAAAGTCTCTGACTAGCGAGCCACACACCATTCCTGACTCGGCTGGATTCTATATCCTCGTCTTCAAGAACGCCATCGCCACGTTCTCTCCCAAGGGATGTAATCATGTTTCGCGGGTACTCGATCGAATCCACCGGATGCAGGATCCATCAATCATGTCGAGTGAATGGATTTGCTATGCCTTGATGTGAGTTTCCTGAATCTGAGAACTATCCCGAGATCGGATTGAGCCGATGAGACTGACTCCGTCACAGCGATGACATCATCGACAGCTTCGCACCCTACATGCGAGCCGCGGAGCGCGACTGCGACGCTATCGAAGATCAAGTATTCATGGCGCGAGCTGACGACATCAAAGCCATCATCCCGCTGGTCGACCGCCTCCACAAGAGCATCACCCAGCTCACCAACTGCCTGAGCGGGAAGAACGACGTTCTCAACGGATTCGTCAAACGCTGTCAGGCGAAGAGCCAGAACGCCGTCTTCTCCAAAGCGGAGATGATCGTGTACCTGGGTGATGTACAGGACCATTTGGTTACCACGCTGACCAGTCTCTCCCACTTCGACGAGATTGTCGGTCGGTCGCAGGCGAATTTCCTGGCTCAGATGAACGTCAACAATATCCGGCTGAGCTTGAATATCAACGAGATTCTGAGCAAGGTGACGGTCCTCGCGAGTATTTTTGTGCCGTTGCATATGATCACGGGTCTGTGGGGGATGAATGTGCCCGTCCCGGGACAGAATGCCGACGGGCTGGGCTGGTTCTTTGGAATTGTGGGGTGTTTCGTCGCGTTTATTGTTGTGTGTTGCTTAGTCGCGCAGCGGATGAAGTTGTTGTAGACACAGCTAGTTTACATTGTATATGATTCGATACCAATTTTGAGGCGATTAGGAGGATAGACAAGCCTATGTGAGGCTACTAAATGTGTTATGACCCACACAGCAAAATCGTGGCCCGCGACAGGAGATTGGAGTCTCTCCGTGGCCGACTGAGTGACCGTAAAGATAGCCCGGGGCGCAGGATCGATTGAGGTTAATGCTGATACTGAGGTACAGGTGAAGCGGCAGTCAGCTCCTAGTGCAGGGCACTCAGCAGTCTCTTAAGAAACACGGCTTCGTTCTGTGTTTGAATGTCAGCTTTTGTGGAGCTGGCTGTTTGAAGTTCATCCTCGACTCTTCCCGTGGTATTCGGTGCTTCTACAACTAGGGTAGCTTATATTAAGAATAATATAACCATAAAACGGGTCCGGCTCCGACTCTCGCCTCTACAAATAGCAGCCTGTCGCACAAATAATGGCTTGGTGTTGTCCGGCTGGGGCTCAAGAAAAAATCAACAGCGTCTCACCACTCAAAAAGAAAAAGAGCATCTGACATTAATAGAGGATTCCAAATCTCGTCAACAATAATGCGCTTACGAATCTCCATAGCAAGTGGGCTTGTGAGGGAATCCTAGCATTCAATCAATCGGTATTTAGCTAGGATTCTTATTGAAAATTAGGCTACCATAGCTGCAATAACACTATTATCAAGAGTATGGTCTCGGCCAGGCAGCTACTCAACATAAATGGAGCTTCTCACAATTATTGCACTAATGTGATCAAAGAATCATCAGTTTCTCTGCACCCTCTCTCTCCATCTTTTCCGCCTCTCGTTTTGCGTTATGTAGTACCACTGACCCAAAAGTTCCTGATCTCTATTCTGGTGAGCAGGCTTTGGTCGACGTCTCCTATAGCTGTCCTCTACGCCCCTAGACTCTCTGTGTCATCGTCCTCCCATTCTATTGTTCTCTTTACCTATTATACCCTCACATCCCTAACCTCTTCTCCGCCTCAAATTCTTGTGTCGGGTGCGTTGATGTACCGTCGAGCCGACGTTCTTATACTCTATCCTGGTGATCATTTTTTGATCGATGACTCCAGGAGTTGCTCTCCAGGCCTCTAGATACTCTTTATTATGCTCTTAAAGCTTTTATTGGACGAAAGTACATAGACTTGCCCCTTGCCTGCATGCCGAGGTCAGACATCATTGCCACGATCTGCACTGAAATCACAAAGGCTCTACAAAAACTGCTTCAGGAAACGGCTTCAAATCTCAACGGCTCTCAGACGGCATTGACAGGTGTTCATATAGCCCGGTTCATTATGAAATCAAAAGTGCAGAGGTACTTGGCTATCGAGCACGGATTTTAGTATTAGGTCACCTAGTCCTTTAGGTATACGAATGGGAGTCTCTATTTAGTATTACTCTACCCTCCTACTTCGCACGGTCATTCTCTAGAACTAGCAATATCATATTCCTCGATTTATTTCCGCCAAAATATATTACAATAAAGCTTGCAGCCAAAAGCTCAGGAACTATAGGAGAGATTCAATGAGCATGCAGAGCTCTATCGCACCATTTGTCATGCCCATTAAGTCTCCAAGAAAAGTACTATGTCTATGGAGTGTAACTCCCGCATAGTGTCTCGACAACACTGCATCTAAACCATCTGTATCAGTCGCCTGAAATATGAACCGACAGTTTTTGACTTGTATGTCTCCATCTCCTGCGATTTGAGCATTGCTAATCAGCTTAGTTAGCATTGAATATGACCTGTTGTCCATGTCGAAATTCAGTGGCTCGCCGCTTCTAAATAGTGGTCTTGTGTCCCTGTTGTTGGATTCTCCTTGTGTGCTTGTACCTGTTTTTTCTTCGTCTACTTTTGTCTGTTCATCACTTTGCCGGTGCCCCCCCCCCTCAGTCCCTGTATAGATCCATTCCTGTCAATCCCGTTCCAGCTCTCCCGTTGTCTTCTCCCTCTCTCGCCCCGGTCTCGGCCTGTCAGCTTCGTCGTCATGATTGGTTATATATGATCATTCTGATTTTTTTCCGCGCATTTCGCATGCTAGCTGCTAATCTGTGCTTAACGATAAATCTTAGCCGGAGAAATCTCGCTTAATCTAGCAGAGATACTGAGGTTTCTGTTTACTTGCAGATTCCAAGTCACTCCGTCCAGCTCTGTGTACTGGTTTCTCCATGCTCGCCATATGCTCTTTCGCTCTGCTGCTCCGTCGACTTCGTCGTTATAATGCCCGCCACCGCATCTGCCTGTCACCGTTACATGTGGTCTTTGTTGTCGAGTGTTCCTCAAAATGATAAATGTGCGACGTTTGCTATCTTCCTCGCAATGATAAGGATGATTCAAAAGGGTACATGGCTGAAGTCAAGCCAAGAGAGATATTGACGGTTATAGTGTTTTCTTATTGGACTTGTGATGTTTAAAATGTACTTGCAATGTTTGTGTATTCAGGCTGTTAAATGTAGATCGAGTCGGCGATCATCATGAACAATTTAGCAGCTTACATCTTCTCTATTCTAGTAACCTTTTTTTGTTCTTTGACAGGGAACTCACCATAAGCTGCCACATCCATCAGGAAACGCCGTATAGAGTTGATTGCCACAGTTTGCAGGTTATTGTTATGGCCGTTGGGTAAATTGTCGATCTGTCTCCTAGTCCTTTAGTCAGGTCTATTGAGTCCTCCAGTTGATTTTCCCAAGGGTTCATAATGATGGTATTGAGTATAGGGTGCTTTGTATAGTACTTAACTGGATATACTCTCTCCTGATACACCGATACAGAATAGTATCAGCGCTATATCTTCCTGTCATCCTCGGTGAGCCTTCGATCTTTGCGGCAGCAGACTAGGTCGCATGAGATCCATGACCACTGACAATCTTTTGATGGCTTCTTGGGTCTCCGAATCTATTATTCTGATAGTTGTCGCTTTTTTCCCATCCTGATTCTCTGACCCGTCTAGCAGAACACCCATCGTGTCTATACGCATGTTTCCATGGAATGGAGCTCAGGTATGAGATGAATCAGCCAGCCTTCTACAATCGAAACTTTGTGACAACAAACAAATGTATGCCACCGTGATCGTGGTGGATACTTGCTTTATCTTTATCTATACTACAAACACTATGGACTATAGTAAAGAAGGTCTTGTAAAGTCTACGTGCTTTCTCCATCCCTATCTCTTGAATCGAACTGTAACTGCTGACCTATGTCTTCGCCTAGTCTACTCAGACTTTACTTCACCCAAGGAAGGATTCCCAGCTCTCCTGAAGCATTCGTGCACGACATTTGTTCTGTCTATAGCCCAGGGTTGGTTGTACAGCAAATCATCAATGTACCGGGACTTTCGAGCCTTAAGCCGCCCCATCAACGATGTTAGTAGAGTACACAGGTCTGTGTACTAAATGAGCTTCGCTCCGAGCCAAACAATCTGGCATTACTATTCCAACACCTAGCGGGACGAGAAGATTGAAGGCCCAAATTCAACGAAAGGAGATATACAGGCCATTGACTCCAAACGTCAACATAGATTAAGAGGCAAATGAAGGCAAATCGCGAATTCCTCTGGAGTGATTAATGAGGTCGTTTATTCGAGTAGGTAGCATATAATTCCGAACTTGTCTCAGTGACGTGTGAGGGGTCCCCACACTATACTTCCGGATCGTTGAGTAGTTGGTCCGCTCTTATCATCCATACCGCGTTAGTACTTGATAACATAGTCTGGTTGGACGCTGGGACTCATGGTGCACAGCTTCTTTTTGATTCTGGTTATCCGATCTAGGGTGAGGTGGAAAAATAGGAGCACAAAACCAGGGCTTCCAATTGACAAAGCGATCCGCAAGCTTATGTCATTGCCAACAGTTCTTTATCTTCCGTGTCCAGTCGAAGTGTGGGCGGCGCGGGGATTATAGCACGGCATGCTGTCACACTTTCCTGCAGAGCGGTGGGCCAAGCATTTCTTACGCTGCGGCTTCGTCAAGATTACGAGGATCGAGCACCAATGGTAATCCCTCATTGATGGTCGACCATCCCGCTAATCCTTGGGTTGCATCACACCAGATATCCTACCAAGCCGTAGTGCTCTTCTATTCTGAACCCTGGCCTGTAGTAGATATCAAGCTTACACATAGAAATGCGTAATTCTTGTATTTCGTCCCAACCGTTCTGAACCCGTCCTCCAATTCTCCAAGCAGATACCATTTCGGTTCTGATCCCAACAGAATTTAAGCGATCTCCATTATCACATGCTAGAAAGTCAAACACGGGGAGTCTTGAATCCCCACTCTTTCTAGCATCTAAACTTCTAAAGGAGGTTTTCTGAGCCTCGGCCAGTGGGTGACATCTCTTGTGCGCAAAAAGTTCCACGTGGCGCTCGGACCAACCACGGTCGACGAATGAAACAGCTTGAAGGCCAAATTATACGAATAGATACCAATTGAAATGAGGTTAGCGCAACGCTTACCCTGGGCCCAGCCACTAGACTCTATTGAGAAAAGCGGCCCAATAGGCGGGAACTGCAGCACTCAAGGCTGCAACTCAAGGGCCCGGCCACTCACTGTTCACTCACTGACTGCTTATTCCGTGTTCTTCTGTGTCTTATCTAGGTACCACCATCAAATGGTCCGACGGAGTAGAGGGGCAAGGGCTTTATCACGCCCCACCAATGGCTTGTATTTGACTAGGTAGGTCGACTTCTTCCCAATCTCTCCAGTTCTAATGACGGTCAACCCTGGCATTTTGTGAGACCTTTCCTAAAGTATCTTAGGTTGAATTGCAGCCTCGAAGAATGATTAAAACTTTCTTAAGTAGCCACGCCCCTCAAAATGTTAGATGCAAAATACCATTACGCTGAAAGGCTTTTCTCTACCTTTGGTCTTTTCATCAGTATCTGTCTTCTTGGATGAATCGCGGTGCTCTGCACAATCTTGTCAGCTAATTATGGAGGGCATCAGGACACCTACTGATCAGGCATTAGACCCTGGCTCAGCCTCACAACCGGACAAGACCCAGACGATGGATCATGCAGATGCTCAGCTTGCCGCGGAATTTGGGTACAAACCCGTCTTGAAGAGAGAGTTCGGGTTGTTTTCCACTTT